TCAGAAAACAACCAGCAGGTCAGCTTGGAAGCTTATTGACCATGGCCTAAATTAAACTAATACAGGAACCTACCATAGAAATTAAAACCCTCCAGCTTATCAGGATAAAGCAGACAGCACACTCAGAGATGTATAAGTAGATCACTTTAAACATGTGTCAATATATGTCCTACAGGACCTTAAGTTCTTATGTAATAACCAGTACACAATGTCCCGAGGAGGTCAGCAGGCCCCTCAGCCATTACAAATCTTCATTGTACACTTGACTTATATCTTGATTTTGAACAATGGATTTGATGACCTGAAATATCACAGATTTGTTTGGGGTGTTATATTGAATACTGGTTTAGTACATCAATTAACACTATATGTACATGTTAATTTTGACTTGGATCAAATATGAAAACTTGATTTCCAGATTGTTATATACTTAGTGACTACATTACATAGTTAACTTAGTAAGTTTCACGTTATTTGTAGCCTAGGGATATTGCAGCATTTGTCTAGCAATATGGTTTTAAAAAGCTATTAATCTATTGCAATATTTTTTCTAATAACTGTTTATGGATTTAAGCAGACTTTTGAAATAATTTTACAGATATAATGTTTAGATTGAATCAATATTATCCATACTAAAGTTGATTGTTGTGAAACTTTCAAAACCAAAATAGTTTTCTATTTTATCATTGAAGCTTACTGACCTTACATACTTTTTGAAATGTTCACGGGGCAGATTACGCATGTTCACAATTAAAAGCATATATAAAATGTGTGTACGTACACCCTAGGGAAAACATAAAACTTTGAAATTACATATTTTGAGTTATTCTTATAGATGAAATCATTAGATCTTAGAATATAGGAATAGTTTAGCAAATTCACTGGTTGAAAAAACTCAATTTTATGATCCAAAATCAGAAGTCTCCCTCCAAAATAGGGAGAGTTGGCGAGTATGACCTTATGCTCACATTTTTATATTATCTACATAAAATCTTTTTGAATAAACTATTGCAGATAAAGTGTATTTAGTTTTTTATTCGGATGCACAAACAGATGTGTACATGCAGGCCAGGATTTGAACCCAAGACCTTCAAAATCACAGACGGACTATATGGACAATTTTACTACTATGCTATATAGTCACAACCCAGTCCAGATTTGGCCATATTTGTACACTAGTAAGAAAGGGTTGTGACTTCATTTAAAGTCAGTTTTTCTTCATCTTATGACACATAAAGGAGGGTGAGTGTACGACTTCTGAGTGTGCCTTGATGTCCTATCCCCTTATACATCTGACCCATGTCAATATATGGTAGCTAAATTAAAGAAATTGTGCTTCAAAGAAATTTGTTTCAAGTTTCAATCGCCCACAAAAACATATCCATTCAACAAACAGAGCTGTATGACCTTACATTAATGACTCACCACAAATCAAAATACTATGAATCTTTGTTGCTTAAAAATAAATGAAAAATTTGATCCCATAAACAATCTCTATACAAATAATGAAATTTCTTGCTTTCCTTGTAATTTGAAACGTTGCTAAATGAACTCTTTGAGCTTATATAAATGTCAAGTGCAAAGAAAGACAAGTAAAATTAGATTATTGAAAAGTAAAGAATATACACATGTATTGGGAGGCTCAAGTTCAAACTCCCATTACCTTATGAACGCTATTGCCAAAAACGAATTTAACAATTACATTGTAGTAAGTTGTGTGGGTTTTCTGACATGCAGGGATAATTCTGGAGGGGGCCATCGATGGGGCCAATGATCCCTCAAAACTGAAATTGACCCCTCAATGTTCCAAATTTTCTTTTAAAACCTGTTTCACCACTGTAGACCATAATGGGCCTATCCAGATCACTTCATGGTAGAGTTTATCAAAGTTACATAGGGGTGAAAGGGTTACTTTTACATAGCATGGCCCCACTTATTGACTCAAAATTGCTGAAATGGCCCTCTGCTCTCAAATTTCCAGGATTGTCCCTGGAAGTGAATATAAAAAAGGTGCGAATTGATGTTGCCTAGCATATAAAGGGTTTCTACCGTACCTACTGTTCACCCAATAGCAAGTTGTTCCATAGACAGGGAAGTCGCTCTTTGTTACACTGAGGGAAGTTCACTGTTGACATGACAGGATTCATTATCCTTGCTTAACCTGACCGTAGTTTAAGGTGATACCGACCAGCTTCTAAACCCATTGTGTAGACTTCTTTTTCAGCACTAAAAACCTTTTCATAGACTTACCTCTAAAAAGCTTACAAATTGAATAGTCCATTCTTTATGTACTTACAAATATTTCTACTTGTATTATAAGCTGACTCACAGACACTTAATCCAGCTTGACAGAACATCTGGATGATAAACTTTAACACAATGGATTATAAATGAATAGGATTTCTTATTTCAAATTATCAATATCCTTTAGGAGCTCAAATAGCATATGACAGTATTATAGTTGCTTACATAAGAAATATTGCCAATAATGTGTCTGTATAGGCAGTGTATTTAATATATCTGTATCATCCAAGTATACATGTACATGATTTTAATCTTCTGAAGAGTTAGAAAGATATCCCTAATTTTCATTGGTATACATCAAGAACTGTGTACAATGCTCCCTACATTTCCTGCTTCAGTTACAAAAACAGTATTCTGATTGATAGTTAAATAAAAACTCTAGTAAATACTTAATTCAATATAATTTATATAACTCACAATACCAATGTCATCAGTCATCATTCTGTATTTTCTGAGTAATTTGTGATTGTGTTTTAATGAAATCTTGAAGTTGTTGTTATGTATTATTTTTCGAGTGACTTTTTAATGCAGAACTACCCCCAGGTGGTTACTTCTCAGTATGGAGGTGCATCATGNCCCCCCCCCCCCCCCCCCCCCCTAACTCAGCTGATTGACTAAAGCACAAATAGGAACAGTCAACCCAGATTTCTTAACAAAGGTTGACATTGACATTTGTCAGCATCAATCTATTAGCATTAGGATTGGTCAAATTTTTATCCAAAACTGTCCTTACTATCACGAACCGCTATTATATTCTGCTAGGAGGGTCATCAGTGTTTAATCCTTCAAAATTTTCCACCTCAGCGACGCCATTTTCTAAGTTATGCAAATAACATGTGAGTGATTATTCAACAAAATGGGGTGGTCCTCTAAGGATGGTTTTGGATAAAAAGTAACCTATTTAACGATATAAGTGAGGAATGTGATATATATATGTCAAAGCAGATTTTTGTTGTCAGCACCTCAAAACTTTCCGACACTAAAGTGAAACAGTGTCAGAGAATTCTGCGTCTTCCAATACTAGTGAGCTCTGACCCCCCACCAAACAGTGGGCTCTGACCCCCCACCAAACATATATCCGTCAAAAAGTCTAAAACTGGTGTCAGGGCCAGAGGGAACTAATTTCATATACCTCCGGTCAGTAAGAAGAAAATTAATTAAATATTGTCAACCCTGTTTGAATAATATGAAATTAAAGCTGCTGAAATAAAGAGAAGTTTGAACAATCCAACTCGACATCGGCAAAAATCAAGTCGTTGATATGCGACAACGACGGCTTATTACAATATGTTTGCAAATATGGCGATGGATAATGGTTCATAGGTCTTCCTTATATTTACTTATATATTGATAATTGATTATTAAGTTCAATCTGCACGTAATAGCAAAGATGGTTGAGAGACAAGCTATGTTAGCCGCAACCCTCTAGTATCTATTGACTTCCAGAATACGGAGAGCTGATTCAAACTGTGGTTAAGGATTGACTGGTCAAATCTGTTTGTTTTTGCACATACACAGGTAACATATCAATAAAGTAATAAATCAAGTGATCCGTGGCCAGGTTGCGATTATATAATCAAATTGTAAACACAGTAATATCACGACAATGCACAAGTGTCTGTCATCAATGTGTGACAGGAACGCTCCACGCTATGTACTGATAGGATATTGTATACATAGTCGGTTGTTGTAAGAAACTCAACAATTGCTAACATGTAGAATATATATGTATAAATTGTCTATCATAGATGACTATGATGGTCGCACATCATTGGTACTTATACTCACTACTCAGTTATTAAATGATGTCGATGCGAAAATAGATCAGTTTAGGCGAATTTCGCAAGGCTTAACTTATTGCATCGTCGATGGCTAAAATTGATCAATTATTGCGTAATTTCAGTACCCAAATTTAGTGTTCCAACAACCTGAAATGTTGGTAAGCAGGGTTCGAACTATAATCAGACAGAAATTTATTGTTTTTATTATACAAAAAGTGTGCTCAAATTAATTATTCGCCTATTTGAACTGACTGGAGGTTTACCATATTCTCATTTGCCGTAATGAACCCCTGTGGTATAGGGGTGTTTCTGAATTATCCCTACAACACATTTATATATCTATACCAGTATATGTTTGTTGATGTGTCCAGCAACTGTAGTAACCCACACTGTAGTGTAGCCTTTTACATAATGCAGTATCATTCATATTTCTTTTCTATTCTGACAATATTTTTAATTCCTTCCACCCTGTCAGTTACTTCATGCATGACCATATTTATAGAATAATATATATTTATGTTATAGAAAGAAAAGTATCTTGCTTTGAAATTGAAGCGTTGATTTATTTTCAATCTATGAGCCTTGATGCAGTAAATATTTTCAGTTTTGAGATTATTTACATCTTTATCCGATAATGATAACTAAACACATATAGTAAAAGATCAAGACCATGACAGCATGTAAGAAAGATTTTGGTGATATATCCAAAAATATCTCACTCCAGTCAGGTCGACAGCGATTCGCCGATATGCATCATCCGATATTCCGACACAGGCTCTGGTGACGAAACAATTCCACTCATCATGGTTCCTGTTCTAAATAAAGCCTAGCACAAGTCTTCAGTTGTGTTTGAACATTTTGTTATTCGGTGTGTTTCCTAAACTGATAATGACACATGTAAATTACTTCACTTACCGGTTTTCGAAGACTGTGGTGTTTTCTTACCGCCGAACCAAAACAAAGTGACAGCAGTGATGAATAACAGGAGGTAACAGGGAGGTAACTCTAACTGACCTCGGTAGTACACATGTGGTAGCATGCTAGTAATACCACTCATTCCAATTCATGCATTCACATTTCAATGCGTTTTACCTGTATATCTGTATTATTTCATATTTATCTGAAATTTGTTCATGAATTCAGAGAACAGGGCGTAAAATAAATGATAAAGTGCACTATAGAAACTAAATAGAAACCGCATCCGATAAAAAATAATTAAAAAAAATGTTTAACGGTAAGACTAAGGCCTACTTTTTCTAACTTCATAGGTTAATTAACAGATCTATGTTTTATTATATCCCAATAGTTATTTCAGATTCAGAAAAGTGGAGTTGGGAATATATTTTCACTGAAATCACCTCCGAAATCGCGAATGTTTTCTGAGATTGTGATATTATTACAATCTAACATAAAACCTACATGTATACATGTACGTAACGTAAATAAATTAAAACGAAATAATTAAATCTTAGACAGTCGGTAATTGACATTATCTTTCATCCGGCCATGAGTCTTTCACGTTACGCCAGTTTCCAACTGGATGCCATATTAATTTACTATTTTTTTCAAATGCTTTCATGACTTTGTTTAATATCCAATTTTGATCAAACTTGAAATCCTGTTAGAGAATTGGAAACATGGTCATATTTATATTATAATCCGTGACTCAATTATTGATATATCACCTTTTTTCCTCAGCATAAAAAGTATCCCTGCAAATCAGTCCAATAGACACAGTGTTAAATTTTGCCGAAAAAAATGCATTTGCCAAGTAACCCATCAGGGTTAGACTTGATTCAACGGCTAATTATTATTATTAGCCAAGAGAAGCGCCAGATAATTATTTTGCTATGTGATGAATTTCATCAATTTCTTGACTGAAAATGAAGACAGAAAAACTGTTTTTCCGAAAGTAAACTAACAGAATTCAATGGGAAAATGACGTAACGTGAAATACTTTTGGCGCTCAGGACTGTATAAGACAGTCAGCAACATTAATACTTTTAATCAATGTTAGACCATAGCCAGGGTAGTCTTTTTCTTTCTTTTGGAAATATATATATATATTTTAACTCACTCCATTGTCCCCTCATAAACCGCACCAGTGAAATTAATGTGCTAGAGCAAACCTTCATACCACGAAAGGATGGCTGATGTGACAATGGGCGTGGACATACATTTCATTTATTTACCGCGGGCCAATATACCTGCAATCGTGACATGTCCTGAATACTGATTGGAGTTGACCTAGAGTAGCGGTTCACATAAAATAATAACCTTATAAAAATATCTATTTGAACAACGAAGGTAGGTTTGGCAGACCTCTCATTCTCTGTCTAGGCTGTTTTCCTCAAACTTTACCTCATCTCCAACGATAGTTGATTAAACCATACCGATATACAAGCTTCTTACTACCATTGTTGGTACCATTAAAATGGGCTATATATAGGAGTGGAAATTAAGGAATTGGAGGTCTTTAGATAAAATCTTGATGTATCAGAACTTTAGACTACGATACCCCATACCAAACTGAAGGAGTGGCTTTGTTCTTTTTTTTTTACGATCGTTTTCTTTTCCAAGAAAGGTGCACAGTGATATGTACAGGCAAATAATTGTAAGTTTGTATATTATTTTTGTGGAGCATAGTTTGTGCAAAATATTACAAAGGCCAAGACGAAGAAATAAATTATTGAGTTCCTGTTTGACAATATCTTTGTTCAGCTCGGTTTTCAGCAGTCTGTTGGCTTCCTACAGGTCGACTTGCTAGGCTGAAATAGAGGAAGAGCTTATCATGACCTGTAACAACGACCTTGAAAAGTCCTTCCATTTTACTTTCAGTTATATTGACGAGATGCTGTCTTTGTATATCAAGACATATACTGACCTAATCGATCATATATACCCTCTTGAACTTGAACACGATAGACTCTTCTACATCCCTCTTTTTTCTCGGTCTTTACTTATAATTATAATAATTAATGAATAATTCGAGGTTCTTATATACCGCTTTATCACAACCTAGTTCGTAGGTCATTTAAAAGCGGTTCACAAATTAGTATCCGTGGCTAAAGGACCTTTGCAAAGAGCCAATACCTTTCTCAACTCCCTGGGAAGCATACAGCCGGTACTGCCATTTCGGCGCTCACAGCTAGCATTCAACAATTCTAGCGCTGCTCAACCACATACTCATTTACAGCTGAGTAGATTGGAACAAGCGGAATAACGTATCTTGCTCAAAGATACAACACAGCGCCGTGCCGTGCCGTGACTCGGACCCAAAACCCTTTGGTCACGAGCCCGGCGTCCCACCACTAGCAGACTACAGTCAAAGCATTAACCACACGACCAAGAGAAGACGGCTTTCTACCAAGTTGTACGATAAATGGGAGAATTTCGATTTTCTGTTCGAAAAAAAAATCACCCCTTCTAGTGACACACGTGATTTCTCAAACTATTGTGTTAACATGTCACAGCTAATCTGGTATTCAAGAGCTTGCTTTAGTATAATAATTTGATAGATGTCCACTACTGATAAACTAACACTTGGTTTCCAAACAAGATTATGGTCGCCGTAATGATCTCATAGGGAAAACATGTTATTTATAATTTGTTAGTGCGATATGAAGATTAATGTCTTTAAGTATGTAAATACGTTTTTGTTTTTGTTTTCAACACCCCGGGGTGTTTAACCTTTCTAAAATTTGACCTAGAAAAAGAAGACGCTTAACTTTCCGGAACACAAAATACTTTTTTTTTTATTGTATTCTTCAAACGTCTCCACGTAAATATGTGCTGTGTTGTGCCATTCTGCTTTATGCACAATGTACTGTAAATAGTTAACGTTTGTAACGATGAGTTGAACGACTCAAAATAATATAAAGTTTGAACTTGAACTTTTGAGGGAGGGGATAAATTCCCTTTGAACAAGGCTTGTAAACGATGTGATTCCGTAAGCATTTATGCTTCTTTGCATCAACTATTCAGTGACGTCAGTAAATGTTTGAATACATAATGCTCAAAAGTCAACTAAATAATTTCATATTCAAATATCATTTTGCCAACAATAGCAGAATTTATTGATTGATTTTGATTTATTGATTTAATATGTCTGTATGTCAGCCCCTTTTCTATGTACAGTAAAGCATGCTGAAAATGTTATACCTAGGACACTTAAGTAGGCACAAGTAAAGTGTTTTTTTCGTTTTACCTTTTTTTGAAACTTGTTTTGTGTATAACTGGGAGTTTTCTATTGGCCAAATATCACATATTGATACAAAGCAAGTGGACAACAGAATGGTCTATCGGCGCGAGTTTTGTTTGGTAAAGAAGAGAAACTTTACTCATTCACCCCTGAAATTTCATTATGAACTATTCCAACCTTTGAATTGAAAGAGTTCAAATGTGCCTTCAAGGGTGAATGAGTGAACTACATTTTACGCATATATTGTGAAATATTCCCTTACTATTGCAATATCTTGTACTATGAATATAATTTGAGATACTAGTACCCGCCCTATACTCAACAGGGATATTCGCTAGTGCTTCAATTTAGGTAAGTATAAAAAAAAAAAAATCTGGACTAAATACATTGCACGTAAGTCGTATTAACGGTATTTTTTTCGCAATTTAAAATCAGCTTCCTTCCTGTAAAACACATCGAGTTACATTGCTTTCATTGCTGCATCGAGGTTGTATTTCTCTCTCCTTTTGGCGGCTTGTGCGATGGAAATATTTATCACAGTGTTCCCATAAGATTACATCGTGAAAGTGTTCCTCACCTGTGCTTCTTCCTTGTGTGATATGAAAGTCAGTGTTTTTCATTTTGCCTATTAGCTGCTTTGTTATTTCGTTGTCACTATCCCGGTTCTCGCAAAGAGGACATCACATTACTTGGATCTGACTTAGATTTATTTGGCGGATATCGCCGAAGAAGCAGAAGACGAGTACCCCTTCAGGACACCTAATCTTATACAGTAGTTAATAGTTCAATTTCTATTAAGGCAACATATTACATTTCTGCTACATAAATCTCCTTCCGAAAAGAGTTCCAGTCTAAGTAACCTCTAAGATATCTTGTATGACTGTTATTATTAATTAATGACACTGTTAAGGCTTACAAGATTGCAAGTATTGATGACAATGAAGTTACTTAAAAGCAGAAACAGCTAAATGGCGGCAACTTTGTTCAAACGACATGTATAAAATGTAAGCTAGCCCATATCCTTATAATTTATGCAATGGTGATGTCCATAGCAGTTGTTCCTGTCTATTTCTCGGATTTCAGGAATAAACAGATATGCCAGAGTTTACTCTATGAAACAAAATAAAGAAAACTGTAGCATACATATGTGATTTAATTCGAGGATACATAGGCAAATACAAATGCATGTAGAGAAAAGTTCAAAGAGTTTTAATTATGGAATAGAGTGCGCGTAAAATCTGAACAGCATTGTCACGGATTTTTGTTCCAATCCGATGAACACTTTATCTATTCACATTCGTATCCTCACTGCTTGCCAATCTGTATGTCCCTGGATGTCTGCCTCTTCATCCAAGCCTGAAGGCACAGGTCCTGTTGGGTCGATGGTCCATTCCCAACGTGTGGCCTTGCTGCAATGTCCGACAAATCAAGAATGGCGCCTGGTAACACGTACTCCTCGGCTGACACAATGGTGCAAGGGGTTCGAAACCCGCGTGCTGCGCCAGGACGAACCCTCTTTTTATTTGAAATTTGGCTGATACAAAAGTCTTGGCCTGCTTTCACTAGGATCCTCTTGTCATTCGGAATTGATGATAAAGATTTCACCTGATCTACTCCGTCAATCACAGCTTGCATGTCCTGCTCTAATGTTATGACATCTGCTGTGATATCAACACTGCGGTTGTCGCTGACGGGTTTCCTTGGGCCTTTGGCGGCCTTTAGTCTAGAGTTGTTGACCCTCAGACAAGATTCAATTATCCACATTTTTATTTTCTCCTCCATTACCTGCAAAGTAGTTTCTTCGTCCTCAGGGATACCCTCAACAATAACAGCCTTTGCTATTGATATTTCTTCAGACCTGTTTTGTTCTAAAATATCCGCCATGACAACTTCTAGTTTGGACTTTGGCCTAGGGCTGTGTGGATTTGCAACTTCAGAAGACTTGCTCAGTATCCCTGATACATTCTGAATGCGAGACGTTGTTCTTGAATCCGGTTTGTCCTCCACCTTTCTTAATCTCCATCTTCTCCATCTCCAATTTGGATTCTTTCCGTTTTTACGACTAACTGTCGAGAGCATATTCCTCGATTCTGTACAGCCCATGATTATTCCCTATCGCAATAAAAACTTTTTCCGAGCAATTTGGTAAACACGAAGGTTGCGCGGTCCCGAAATGCATGCGATAATGTGACTATGACGGCGTGTATATTGTACGTCATAATGACGGTCACGTGCTTAACAACATCTGGTTATTTGTCAGCTTCTTCCGTTAAGGGGATTAAACTCTCAGGCTTAAGTGTAAAACATATTTGAGTACCTTGTCCGGCCATGATAGACAGTCCTCTGTTATACCATTGGAATAAGAGCGTTTAAGCTCGTCCATGATTTAAGCCTGAACTTGGTTATTTCATATCAAATACTCGCATTTCATACAATTTCAAATTTCTAAAAGGTGCGTTTGTTTAAGATGCTCTTGAAAATGACGGAAATTGAAATACGGTTCTTAATAACCGATTCATCTGTTATAGATCTGTGTGACACCCAATTCCATATACAAATGCTCTACCCACTTAACGATCTGAAAATATTACGCCTAATTACATTTCAGTAGTCCGAACAAGGAATAAAGAAAAGAAAAAAAGTTGCACCTCATGTTCTGGTTCAGTGCCGCATTCTGATATTTTGTTAGTTTCTTATTTCCATATTAGAATGCACATTATTCTTAAGGTTATTATTTAGAAGACGAGTACTCCTTCAGGAACATCTAATCTTATTCTCCTACTCTCCAAATAAATAGTTACCTTTGTTCATATTTTCCCCACATCTTACATATTTTGAGTTCAAATTACCGATTTGTTGTCACTAAGATATCCTCCTGTTTGTTTGTTTGTTTTTCTCCTTTACATTAATGTAAAATTTCAACAAAATTTGATTTAATCATAAGAGTTCATTGGACCAAAATAATGTTTCCGTCTGTAAAATCAAATTAATTTCATTTTTCAAGCAGAGGTGTACTGAATCATTTGATTACTTGATAACTAAAAAGTGTTCGTGAACAATCAAGTTGTTTTATGGTAATGCAATGAGCACCTCCTCGACCTACACGTTTTAGTATTTGTTTATACGCTTACAATTTCAATTGTATTCATTCGGAATTGTTCAAGCTAAATGTTGCATAAATGGGGTTGGTTAATCTTGGCAAAGTCATTTTGACAGTTCTTGTCCTAACTGAAGGCCGGACTGCTCTTGACCTGTAGCTTAGCACTTTCTGACCACTCCGGTAGCCAGCCAAGGTCATTGGGTTGTCCATCCTCGAAATCGTATTCGTCCAAGCCTACAAGGAGTCGGACTTCCCTGGTTTTAGCGATTTCCGGTATTTCATCAACCATTTCGATAAGACTTTTATGTTTTGTCTTGCTGCATTCGGAAGTGCTCGGGAACAGCCATACTCCTTGTGATGGCCAATGAGCAGTGGCTACCATCTTCTCGAATGCTTCCTTCTTCAGCTCCAAATCTTTCTTTCTTGCCCATCTTGCCGGAGTCATACAGACGAAGGTGACAAATCGCCATCTATCAGAATGTAGGCGATTCTGTTCCGGTTTGACGTTATCGTGGACTGTTCTAGAATCCCAAAGAACCATACCACCTTTGGGGACTGGGACCTTTTTCTCTTTTAGACCTTTATTTTTGTACCATTCGATATACTCTGGTTTTAAAATATAAAAATCTTCACCAGCGCAATCTTCTTTAGCCTCTTGGAAAGTGTCGAGGAATTCCTTATGAACTTTGCATGACCCCTCGATAACCCGGAAGCAGTAATCCTCTTCTGTTGTTTCTTCCAAGTACATCGCCCCTTGGAACGCATGCAATCCTATTCGCCAACTTCCCTGGTCGAAATGAAACCAAGTTTCACCTTGATTGTTGAATCTAGTATTTCCTACAGAAAAAAATAAAAGGATTTAAACAACAGCCTATAGTCCGAGTTAAACACCGGAATAACGATTGAAATATACACATGGGGAGATACACCATGCATTTTTAATCTGAAACCGTCGACACTTTCCGTAAACGAGAATTATGTTCGGTAGAAAGTGCAGACGGTTCCCGATTGCACCGTTCTGTGACTTTTCCGCGGTAAAGGAAGTATTGCTTGACGTTCCAGGGGTTTAGATCAGAATATAAGGTGTTATGATAACAGGAGAGAGACGACATTAGTTTTACAATGCCTCCGCTACGGTTCGAACTCGGGACCTCTAGCTTATTAGTCTGACGTTCTACCGAATGAAATTTCCAGGAGTCATAGTGATTCTGGTGGAAGTTTCGCTGCGTATTATTGTCAATATTTCCCCATTCCTTACGTTTTCCTTGTTCCCTACAAGGGCGCCATTGTAAGAGGCCATTATGTTTTCAATGCTTCGGCTAGGGGTCGAGTCCGGGACTTTTAGTTCTACCAGTTCTACCATATAGTGACCACCTTCAACTAATTGAAGATTTTGTCACGAAGTTGGGTTTATGCAGCACAAATGACAGACTGTATATATTACATAATAATTAATAATTAATCACTTAGTTACAGTTAAGAGAAGGAAAATTTAGTTCGAGGAGAGTCCGAGAGAAAGGTCGGAGCAAGCAAGTGATTGGGCAGCCCCCACCGACAAAGCTTGTTCATAAAAGGGGGAAAAGAAGAGAAGTGGTAAATTATTATGTAAAGTTTGTTGAAGTAACTTATTACTCTGCATCTTCAATTTTATAGGTGTGCCTGGAAAGAGATGTTTTGAAAGAGTTGAAAGTGGGTGCATTAACGATGTCAGATGGTAATTTGTTCCAGTCTAGTATGGTACGAGGAAAAAATGATTGTTGTCTAGTTCACTAGCCTGGCGCTCTACCGACGGTACTAAAGATACATTCGGTATGGGGCGGTTATCGTTTTGACAGTACGACAATAGAAACGTGGATCATGAGAAACTCAATCAAAGCTTCCCACAGCTACTCTCTTCTCAACGTTCCTCGGTGTGCCATAGTTGTGGAAAAACGGAATGCCACTTCCATCCTTCTTGTTGACATGATTTATTGGTGCAAGATTAATGTTGATTTAAACCCATAAACGTCTACAATATCCCCTACAACACATTACGTCTTAAATGAAGATTTCTATACATGATGAGATTGTACAATCCTATAACAATAGTAATTTGTGAACAAAGTGAATATAGCCCATTAAAGTAGTAATTGGACAAACATTAGGGAGTGAGTGCATCTCAAGCAAACACCCATAACATCTGGAAGTAGGTATATATATAGTCATAAAGAAACATGAATATGATTAAAGCATTATATATCATGATTTTTATTTTTGTGTTAATTTTCCTATTGTAAGTATGAAAGACAAACAGGAAGATATATTTTTTTCTCGAACGGGAACGATAACTTACCGAGTTCCGGGGGTTCTCCGATGGCCATTCCGTCCATGCTCGATAGAAGTTTCTCCGTGCCCCATACTGTGGCGAACACAGGTTTGGCCTTGAGGCGAGCTTCCCAGGCCACAGGGGAAGCTGAAACTCTGTAAAACATATATTTAGGACAGTTATTTTACACTACCAGTCGATAATACTAGTACCACAAATTCATGAAATCGTTCTAGTACTCAAACTCAGATGCAGTGCTCTAGCTCAATTTCTTGTTCCGGCGACAAATGAAATTTCTCAATGGTTTGAAGGAATTTTGTAGAAGCAAAACAATGAATACCGTGTTCAAAGTTTCATCTATTGCCTATTTTTACCATTAAGATATAAGCAAGTTACAAGTTAGTTTTTGCACAGAATCCATCCTTGAGCACACAGACGGTTTCATTAATACGGGTGTAGAACTGTAGCTGTCTGGTCGGTAAAAAAGGCAAGGGTGTTTGTCAATAACGCAATGTAGCGATATATATGTTATTTAAAAGATAGGGAATTTTTCTGAAAGAATACACAAAGATCATATTGAACTCAAAAAAGGGCTGTTTGAGAAAACTTTCTTTAATGCCCGATAAACAATATAGATATTACGACAAGAAAAGCATGTGCGTTACGTTGGGTCGAGCCTCCTTAACCAATCGTGGTGAAATGACAATTAACATGTACCAAAACAGCACGGAAAGCAACACTGGAAGCCATACATGAAGACAAAACGGATAGACCTACCTGTACTGTTGCGTGAGGGAGTTATGCTTGTCTATCGGCGAATCTTCAACAAATTTGTCTAGCCATTGTCTTATCTGGTCAACCAGATCGTCGCACGTGTCTGGGGACAGGACACCAGGAACAACTGTGTAGCCCTTCTCCTCGAGATCTCTCATCAAAGAATCCCTGCCAACGTGACATTTAAGTGAGATTGCATTTAAGATCAGTATGATTAGTTGTGCGTTTTGTGTTAAGGTTACCCCCCTTGAACTCAAATACACTATAATTACCCGGTCAAATAGTCTTAACCTTTCAAATTAGGGTTGTCAAACCGGTAAAATATTGGTAGCCGGTTACTCGAAAAATCTTCCGATCGAGTAACCGGTTAATCGGTCAATTTGGTAATCAAACGATTACATGTTAACCAAATGTTCTATGCAAATATTAATTAACATGATAGTTTACTCGCGTATTTCAAGCTAAACGCAGGAAATAGTTACATAAAAAGTGTGTTTCATGGACAACGAATGTATATGCAGCAAGACGGGATTCAGTAAGTTATCTGCAGTACTCGAAATCATATACGGTAATATTGTTCTTTAGGACAAAATTTGATCGACAAACGTTTTAATACATGCTTGCACATTTAAGTGTGCACTCCTCAGATTATATATACATCTCATTTGTAAAAGCTCTAAAAAAAATGGTTTTCTTTTAAAACCTGTTTAGGTTTGTTTATGTTGCTGGCGGCATCCCTTTGTCAATCTTTACAATAGAGTACAATAGCAACACTAACATGTCATTTTTTATTACAAAACTATTCGATTTTTATCGCATCTATTCCGTCTTTGCGTATTGCAGAGTTATCTTCTCTTGGGAGCAGGTATTGATTGTTACGTCATTGGTTTGTGCGAGAAAATTACGGCGTTTTCTCAAAAATTGATGACGTTACTCTCGCAAACAAGTGACGTAACAATCAATCCCTGCCCCCAAGATAAGATAACTCTGCAATACGCAAAGACGGAATACATAATAAGTAGGTCAATGCCAGTGAAACGTGGGGCTTCCCAAAGGGATGATTAAATGTCCGATTGTTCTGTTATTGAGACCAAGTAACCGGCTTACCAGCTAACCGTTGACAATTATATTTCAAATATATTATCAAACCACGGAATTAGATTAGATGCTATCTTAGTCCGTCATCAAACTAAATAATATTTATTCATTCATTTTATTCATCGTATCTGGATGAACGCCAACATGCTTAAACTTAATCAGGAAAAGACGGAACTAATCGTCTTTTCCCCAAAGTGTCAGCAAACAATGGCTCTCTAGCTCAAGGTCGGTGCCAGAACTATTGAGACTGTTCCAGCTGTTAAATATCTAGGGGTATACTTTGACAGTTCTCTGAACATGGAGAAACAAGTGAACGCTATTGCCAAATCCTGTTACTACCAGGTCAGGAACATCGGCTGTATTCGGCAGTTTCTAACTGCAGATGCATGCAAGATTTTGGGTGCATTCACTTGTTACCTCTCGGTTGGATTATGGTAACGCCCTGCTCTGTGGTATATCTGACAAACTAACTAGTCGTCTGCAGAGGGTCCAGAACACTGCAGCACGGCTAGTTACTCGTACTCGAAAGAGAGAGCACATCACACCTGCGCTTTATTCGTTGCACTGGTTACCTGTACGATACAGGTCACAGTACAAAATTCTGGTATACACATACAAGGCACTGAATGGAACAGCTCCTCAGTACCTACAGGAGCTTGTTACCCTGTATCAGCCGTCAAGATCACTGCGGTCGGAGTCAGAATCTTTGTTGTGTGTCCCAAAATCTCGTACTGTGACCTACGGAAACAGATGCTTTGGGAGGGTTTCGGCTACGTTGTGGAATAGCTTACCATCTGCTATTAGGAAGTCAAATACCCTGGCCAAGTTCAAGAGGGACATAAAAACTCACCTCATCACGTCTGCATTTTAGAATCTTTGCAAAGACGTCATGTAAATACCACCCTTTTATTTGTTCAATTATGTGCACATTGCTTGTTAAATGTATGAAAGTGATTGCAAGCCTTTGTTTTCACAATTATAACCATTATTATTATCCATATGTTGTAAAGCGCCTTAGAGTAATTTTACAAATTATATAGGGCGCTATATAAATGTTGTATATTATTATTATCATTATTATTATTAATATAATTTGCGCATTCCTTTAGTGCAAAACTCTTTCTGGAGTTGAAGTGCGTGTCAAAAAAAAGGAAGCATATACCGTTAAATACAACCTTAACTTAGATTGACTGATAGCCTGATTGTCGACACTGTCAACTTGATGTCGATATACCACGAGACATGACTATGGTTAAAAATATGTTTAATGTTGAAACACATTGTATATTATACAACATATTCCACTTATCTTTTACCCGATTTTCGATGAAAATTACACTTACAAAATTCCAGAAATGTTATAGTTTAATAACGTGTAAATATCACGTTTTCATTCAAACCTTCATCAAATTGGGAACCGTCCCTACGGAATCTGCCGAGATGTGACGAGTGGGGGGGGGTTAATTCTTTATTTTCTCGTTTACGGAAAGTGCCGACGGTTCCCGATTGTCATTCTACATGGTTGAATTTATTTGTCAGAACTTATCAATGATCAGTAATGAACCTAGATAAAACTGGGGCGTTTCCATAAGCACTTGACAATAAGTTATGTAAGAGTAGTTGTGCAGTACGTCCTACATAAACATTTGTCAATTGGACCTTTCCTTTTTGTTTTGTTGGTACAAAATGCTTGACAGTCGGATAAATGTTTATAAGTAATACTTTACCCTAAAATGAAGCAGGGGCGTAGTTTGAACTTTCAGTATTTAAACTGAGTAAAAGAGAGTGAGCGCCGATCCATAAAAGGGTAGTCATAAAAAGGCATAGTTGACAAAAGTATTTGTATAGGCACGTACGTACCTTCTGTAGCCTGTCAACATTGTCATATACATATGTATATATGTCAGGTATCTAGGTCACTCAGGGGTGTTTAAACGACATCGCGTGTCACCCCCTGGATAATCTTTCGTGTAATTTTATGGGAATAAAACCCGACCCCAGTTCTACGGATGTTTCATGAAAAAAGCAAAATTACAATGTAGAAGTTTAGCGAGGTGATCTCTCTCAAATTGCAAATAACATTGATACAGCAATAAGCAAACATGGGCTTATCGATTTTACAGCCTTAAAAGTCTGTCCAGGTCATGTAAGAAGCACAACTGGACAACCCAAAGAAGCTTACTTCCTCACTGAAAAGCAAAGTCACGATGTCATGTGACAATCGTAATCATACATGTACCTGTCGAAGACCGCCGATCCGTTTTCCTGGCCAGCTGTACATGTGTCGTCCATGATGACTCCACCAGTTACTATATATCTGACCTAAAAAACATTGAAGGATGGTGTCATCAAGCTTATCTCGCATGCACATCTCGCTATTTATCAGGTCTATTCACTGAAATTCTCACGAGTCTACGTGCGGGTTTTTTTCATTTGTATACAGGCAGTATTTAACGTATATACAGTAGTTCTCACTTGTATAGAAACATTATTTCTAATGTGTATACTGGTGTTATTATCAGGCAGCATTTCTCATGTTTGAAAATGTTTCAAGTTAATACCGTGTACATTAGTCCGAATTATTCTGACGTTTTATCGACTTTTTTCATATCGGTCTGTCGTTAATCGACGACAGACCGATTTGAAAAAAATCGATAAAACGTCAGAATAATTCGGACTACGCGTACATGTATGTATCCAGCGGTATTTCTCGCTTGTTTATCATTATCATGCGTATACAGAAAATAGTTCTCATGTGTATACTGGTCTTTTGGTTTCGAGTTAATACAGTGTATATTTCTCATGTGTACACTGGTGTTTTGGTTTCGAGTTAATACCGTGTATATTTCTCATGTGTATACTGGTGTTTTGGTTTCGAGTTAATACCGTGTATATTTCTCATGTGTACACTGGTGTTTTGGTTTCGAGTTAATACCGTGTATATTTCTCATGTGTACACTGGTGTTTTGGTTTCGATTTAATACCGTGTATATTTCTAATGTGTACACCGGTGTTTTGGTTTCGAGTTAATACTGTGTATATTTCTCATGTGTATACTGGTGTTTTGGTTTCGAGTTAATACCGTGTATATTTCTCATGTGTACACTGGTGTTTTGGTTTCGAGTTAATACCGTGTATATTTCTCATGTGTTGCAGCGGTATTTCTCGCTGCATGGAAAATCCCGGATCATGAGAGCAGTTGGCCATTTCAGCAATTTTCACTATCAAAATTAAGTGGGGCCATTCTGTGTAAAATTAAAAGAAAATTGGAACAAGGAGGGGTCAATTTCAGTTTTGAGAGGTCAATGGCGCCATGGTCCCCTCCAGGGTTATCCCTGTGTATGTAAGTATACTCATTCTCATGCGTATACAGAAAATATTTCTCTATGAATACAGAAATTCTTACGTGTGCACAGCTGGTATTTCTAACATATAGCAGTATTTATCACATGTGTATATCCGTATTTTACATTTATACATGACGTGTTAATGGGCAAATTGTTCGAGTGGTTAACACTCCGGCCTTCCACGCAGGCGGCCGGGGTTCGATCCCCGAAGTCGTCGTACGCATGGATATTCAGAGATAGGGTTTTTACTCCTGCCCACACAATTCCTACAACCCAGGTGAAGTATAAATTGGTCTGGGATGTATATTGCGGTCTCTGTGCTGTAGCATTCAAGAGAGAGGCACTATAAATGATGCCATTGGAAGCACGGTCCCAGTACAAACAGAACACATTACATCTCCAGCACACACACATAGGGAGATACTAGTCAGGTGGCATAGGACTAGTAATTAGCGCCTGATAAGGCAGCTCTTGCGAATTCCCCAAACTTGTATTAATTAATGTATATGCTAATTGCATTAATTGTATATCTATGTACTGTAAAGCGCTATTGCCGGAGTGGCTTATGTTAGTTAGATAGGGCGCTATATTTAATGCTGTAGATGATTATGATTAAACAGTAGTTACGTGAACCGTAGCTCAAGTTCCGATCTAAATCTCTTTTTATTTTGAAATGTCAGGGCCATCTAGTCACGGTATTCTTACGCAAACAAAGACAGTATTTCTAACGCGAAGACAAACGATATTCCTCACGCGCAGGGAGAATTTCTCGCTAGTGTAAGGATGTAGTTCTCACATGTAAACGGACTGAATGGCGTGTTCTCGATCACCTTATTAATCACGTGTTTCAGACAGGATTTCACAGGTATGTACGCAGAATTTATCACCCGTTTTCAATATTTCCAAGGTTACACTTTACCCGACGTATATACAGCGGTATTTCTCACGTTTATACTACGACTTTCTCGTGTGTATGCCGGTAGTTTACTCGCGATTATACAGTATTTCTCATGTGTATGCCGGTAGTTTACTAGTGTTTTTACGTATTTCTCATGTGTATGCCGGTAGTTTACTCCCGATTATACAGTATTTCTCATGTGTATGCCGTTAGTTTACTCGTGATTATACAGTATTTCTCATGTGTTTGCCGGTATTTTACTCGCGATTTTCCAGTATTTCTCATGTGTCTGCCGGTAGTTTACTCGTGATTCTACAGTATTTCTCATGTGTATGCCGGTAGTTTTCTCGCGATTCTACAGTATTTCTCATGTGTATCCCGGTAGTTTACTCGTGATTATACAGTATTTCTCATGTGTATGCCGGTAGTTTACTAGTGATTTTACGTATTTCTCATGTGTATGCCGGTAGTTTACTCGTGATTCTACAGTATGTGTATGCCGGTAGTTTACTCGCGGTTCTACAGTATTTCTCATGTGTATGCCGTTAGTTTACTCGTGATTATACAATATTTCTCATGTGTTTGCCGGTATTTTACTCGTGATTATACAGTATTTCTCATTTGTATGCCGGTAGTTTACTCGGTATTATACAGTATTTCTCATGTGTATACCGGTAGTTTACTCGCGATTTTCCAGTATTTCTCATGTGTCTGCCGGTAGTTTACTCGTGATGCTACAGTATTTATCATGTGTATGCCGGTACTTTACTCGTGATTATACAGTACTTCTCATGTGTATGCCGGTAGTTTTCTCGCGATTCTACAGTATTTCTCATGTGTATACCGGTAGTTTACTCGTGATTCTACAGTATTTATCATGTGTATGCCGGTACTTTACTCGTGATTATACAGTATTTATCATGTGTATGCCGGTACTTTACTCGTGATTATACAGTACTTCTCATGTGTATCCCGGAAGTTTACTCGTGATTATACAGTATTTCTCATGTGAATGCCGGTAGTTTACTCGCGATTGTACAGTATTTCTCATGTGTATACCGGTAGTTTACTCGTGATTGTACAGGATTTCTCATGTATATGCCGGTAGTTTACTCGCGATTATACAGTATTTATCATGTGTATGCCAGTAGTTTACTCGTGATTATACAGTACTTCTCATGTGTATCCCGGAAGTTTACTCGTGATTATACAGTATTTCTCATTTGTATGCCGGTAGTTTACTCGGTATTATACAGTATTTCTCATGTGTATGCCGGTAGTTTACTCGTGATTGTACAGTATTTCTCATGTANTGTATGCCGGTAGTTTACTCGTGATTATACAGTATTTCTCATGTGTATGCCGGTAGTTTACTCGTGATTCTACAGTATTTATCATGTGTATGCCAGTAGTTTACTCGCGATTTTCCAGTATTTCTCATGTGTATGCCGGTAGTTTACTCGCGATTATACAGTATTTCTCATGTGTATGCCGGTAGTTTACTCGTGATTATACAGTATTTCTCATGTGTATGCCGGTAGTTTACTCGCGATTATACGTATTTCTCATGTGTATGCCGGTAGTTTACTCGTGATTATACAATATTTCTCATGTGTTTGCCGGTAGTTTACTCGTGATTATACAGTATTTCTCATGTGTATGCCGGTAGTTTACTCGTGATTCTACAGAATTTCTCATGTGTATGCCGGTAGTTTACTCGCGACTATACGTATTTCTCATGTGTATGCCGGTAGTTTACTCGTGATTATCCAGTATTTCTCATGTGTATGCCGGTAGTTTGCTCGCGATTATACAGTATTTATCATGTGTATGCCGGTAGTTTACTCGTGATTATCCAGTATTTCTCATGTGTATGCCGGTAGTTTGCTCGCGATTATACAGTATTTATCATGTGTATGCCGGTAGTTTACTCGTGATTATACAGTACTTCTCATGTGTATCCCGGTAGTTTACTCGCGATTATACAGTATTTATCATGTGTATGCCGGTAGTTTACTCGCGATTATACATATTTCTCATGTGTATGCCGGTAGTTTACTCGTGATTCTACAGTATTTATCATGTGTATGCCGGTAGTTTACTCGTGATTATCCAGTATTCCTCATGTGTATGCCGGTAGTTTACTCGCGATTATACATTATTTATCATGTGTATGCCGGTAATTTACTCGTGATTATACAGTATTTCTCATGTGTTTGCCGGTATTTTACTCGTGATTATACAGTATTTCTCATGTGTTTGCCGGTATTTTTCTCGCGATTTTCCAGTATTTCTCATGTGTATGCCGGGAGTTTACTCGTGATTATCCAGTATTTCTAATGTGTATGCCGGTAGTTTACTCGCGATTATACATATTTCTCATGTGTATGCCGGTAGTTTACTCGTGATTATCCAGTATTTCTCATGTGTATGCCGGTAGTTTACTCGTGATTATCCAGTATTCCTCATGTGTATGCCGGTAGTTTACTCGCGATTATACAGTATTTATCATGTGTATGCCGGTAATTTACTCGTGATTATACAGTATTTCTCATGTGTATGCCGGTAGTTTACTCGCGATTATACAGTATTTCTCATGTGTATGCCGGTAGTTTACTCGTGATTCTACAGTATTTCTCATGTGTATGCCGGTAGTTTACTCGCGATTATACAGTATTTCTCATGTGTATGCAGTATTCTGATGTGAACATTATTTCTCGTGTATATCTGCAGTAATTCTCACACAAAAAAATATTTATCACGCACTAACAAGTTTCCATATGAATTTCATATGTTAATAGTTGTCATTACATATCCTCATTAGTTATCGACCTCCACTGCAACGAGGAAACAAGTCAAGGCAACCCCATCGTTCTATTCCAATTTTGAATAGCAAGTTTTGCCTATTGCCAGAATCCAGCTTCATAGCAATTTGCAGGAGTTATGGCCTTTTTATTAACTGAAAATAACTGAAAATGTTAGCATTTTGAGATTTATGGAGACAAAAAATGTTGCTTCTGGAAGATAATATTACTCAACTAGTTCACATACTGTATTTAGTAGGATTTACATTTAAACTAAATGCGCTAAAGGCTCCAGTACAGGCATATAGTCGACCACATTCAAACAAATCAAAGTCTTGCAAGGCAATCCATAGTCCCCCACCAGTAATGATTTCTATATTTAACAAACTTTGTCCTAGTGACCTACACTTATGTACTTCTTCCACTCTACTATCCCAAGATGTCCTTGTACTGGTTCGCCCGTTCTCAGTATAATGTGACTGGGTTGGTGTCTTCGGCAGTACGTTTCAGTGAGATAGCACTATAAAGTCGGCATCAGTTCCGCGCTATCATAAGGAGACGAACACATTGCAGCCACCCAAAACACACACGCATACATCTTGCACACAGGGGAGGCTGTCCTTAAATGACCATAGCTGTTGATAGGACGTTAAACCGTGTACCCCAGATTTGGATACTCCAGGTGAATTGTTATAGAAGATATATCCCCGACAAATATTTTCAAAAGAATTGTTTTGTTTTTGTATTGTTTAACGACCCATCCACAATGCAGATTTCGGGCCAACAATACTGTTAAAAATCACATTCACGAACATAAACACACAAACAAGAGGATATATTTATACAGAGAGTTGATTTGTTTTTAACAAGAACAGAAATATTATTCAGTGACAAAAAACAATAAAACCACCTTATTCAATATCTAGCATACAGATTTAAGACTAAAAAGTATTTGAAACTAGCACCTCTGATTCTAAACAAGATTATTTTTTTTTTTTTTTTTTAGCACACTGACTCCTTTGGGCCCCACCCTACAGCCCTTGGGGGTAGGGCTGACTCAAAATTTTCAAAATATCAAAGTGTCAACTCAGGGTAATAATTCAAATCAAGTTATTAACATGTAATATTCAAAGTAGCATTTGCCATTATAAACCACAATAAATTTTGTGTCTACCATATCTAGGTCTTGAGAAGAAGATTTTTGAAATTTCAGTCAATTCAACCCTTTTTGGCCCCACCCAATAGCCCCGGGGGGTCAGTCAGGGCTCATATGTGCATACGATCAAACTGCTACTCAATGCTGATAATGCTAACCTAAATTGAATTACCTCCAATGGCAATTAAACAATTGTTGGTCCAAAATTTGATTTCCCTATATGAACTATAGTAAAGTTTACCCCCTCCCCAGGGGGAAACGTGAGACCCCAGGATCAAGAAATTCTTGAGAAAAAGATTTTTGAAATTCCAGTCAATTCAACCCTTTTTGGCCCCACCCAATAGCCCCCGGGGGGTCAGTCAGGGCTCATATGTGCATACGATCAATCTGCTACTCAATGCTGATAATGCTAACCTAAATTTAATTACTTCCAATGGAAATTAAACAAGTGTTGGTCCAAAATGTGATTTCCCTATATAAACTAGAGTCAAATGTCCACCCTCCCCAGGAGGAAACGTGATACCCAAGGGTCATGGAATTCACAATTTTGGTTAAGCACCTTAAGACCCTTCCATCTATGAAGAGTATTTGATTCTACCATATCTGGGTCTTGAGAAGAAGATTTTTAAAATTTTAGTCAATTTGACCCTCAGGCCCCTGGGGTCGGGGACCAAACCGGCAACCATTTTTGTTAACCTTTGGCCATGGAAGGTTTCTGCAAAATTTCATCGAAATTGGTTCAGCGGTTTTGGAGAAGAAGTCGAAAATGTAAATTGTTTACGGACGCACGACGGACAAAAGGCAATCGCAATAGGTCACTTGAGACTTTGTCTCGGGTGACCTAAAAACCCACTAAATAGGTTAACATATGTAAAGGATTAAAGAAATACATTAAAATCGAACAAACTGGATGCACAATATATCATATATTATTGTAAAGATGATTAGTGAATAGTGTAGTAAATAGTCAAATATTAATTGCACAGAAACTGTATGAATAATCTTTTCAAAAGTAAATGGCAAGTCATAGGTCACAGCGACGTTATTCTTGCACTCTGCATTCCCTTACCCCAAGACATTCTTGTACAGCAAAATCTGGCTACTCCAGGTAAAATAGTCTAGAAGGTATGCCCCAGACAAATATTTTCAAAGGTGAAGTCATAGTGACCTTCTCACACTCTGTCATCCTAAGATGTCCTTGTACACCGATCTAGTTAATCCAGGTGAAATAGTACAGAAGATATGCCCCGGACAAACTTCTTGGGCGGATGGAGTGCAAACTTTACCCCGCCCCCGGAATTTAGTGCCGACAGGCTTCGATGTACACTACAAGAGCTATAGAGTCTGCATCTCCTGAAGTTGGGCCCTGAATAACTAGGTGCAGCTGGAACTACACTGAATACTAGATATAGTGCAATGATTCAAATAAAACAAAGACATATAATACAATTTAAAATTGTGTATTAAAATGCATCATATCAATTCAAATACATAAATGTACAATCTGTATACAGGATGCTCAAAAACATTCTTATTCTTGCTCCCTTTCAACTACAACACTTTCTTGTTCCCTCAACCTTTTACTACTATTTCACATGCTTCCTCACTCCCAACACATCTGATGTATGTACACTCCATTTTCAACCACTACATATATATATACACACTCCTTACAATGGTACACCACAGCGGTCACGCACATTACAAACTCAACCAGACAAAGATGCAAGTACCCGTACTGCATGTTTAATTAAATAACCGCTACAGTCCAGTCGGTTAATATCATTGGTCCTTAGCAAGAGAGCTTACAAGGAATACCAATTGTAAACCACTTGTACATTACCAGTTCCTCATCTGCAATAATGCTTTGTTCAGTCTTCTCATCTCGAGGAGTATTTCAATTCTCTTATAATACCAGTATGACTTAAGAAGACTTCAAAGGAAAAAGTAGTTTCAAAATACAAGTGGTTTACAGAATTAGAAAAAATAATAATATACATATTGAAATGCCCATAGCTCATATATATATTCAGCACTTGTAAGGAATCAGCATCTCCAGTTACAATACTTACAGTTGTCTTTTCTGAACAACAATAGTATAGATAATAAGATAGTGTCAATCCCTGTATTAACAGCGTTCAGACCTGCTACCTAGTTCCATACCTTATGCCACAACATTTCTTGTGGTCAATAAAATAGAGAAAAATACTGAAATTGTGACCACAGGGGTAGAATTTGATATTATAAAAGACACTTTTATGTATTTGCATAATTTTGAAAAGGATAAATGCATTTTACATGCATTAAATAAGAGACATTCAAATTATTTGATTTCTTGCGCCTTATGACTGTGCACAGAATTATTTTTCTTTAAATGGTTGTCATTTTTAATGATAAATCATTCTTGAGCTTTTAAAGAGATTTTGTTGGTAGCACCATATGAAAACAAAGACTTCATTAGAAGGACAACTATAACAAATATCAGCTCTGTCCCCTTCCACGGTACACACAACCAACCTTTGTTCCATTGTTTCAAACAACAAAATCTTGATATTTCCAACAAATTAACCCAATTTTTTACAGCAAGTTCAAATACTTCATATCACTTGTGATGTAATTATTATCAGAAATTACACACATCTTACAAAATCCTTTCTTCCTTGTTCACTTACGACTTCATTGCTATTTAGATGAAACATTTCCTAGCAATAACAATCATTATCTACGGTATTTGTCGTAGCGGTCTCTAGGTGAAGGGCTCCGGTGGCCATTTCTGTGTCGTTTGTGGTGGCGTTCTGGCGAGTGGTACCTACTATCCCTCTCGTGTTTATATTTCTTATGGTTGGCCTTGTAACGCTCTGGCGACTTGTTCAGTGAAGGACTGCGACTTTTGGAATGTGAGTGCTTCTTCCTTTTTCGGGAATGTTTGTGCTCTTTAGTGATGTAGCGATCTGGGCTGAAGTAGCGATCCTTCTTGTATCTGTGTGGAGAACCTCTGTTCTTACGACGTTTCATCGAGGGGCTTCGACTTAAACTGCGACTAGATCTGGACAGAGAGGACCTGATTGTATGGGGGAAAAAATAAATGATCTTCATAAATTTGCAACTTTCAAGGTTTCTCATCGAAAAAGTGCATATGTAAAATTGTAGTAGATATAACTAAATGACTATGTGAAGGAAAATTGGAGGGAATACAACTTAAATTTGTATGTAGTGTTTGCTGGATTTTGTTATTGCATATATTTTTTCCAAGCTTATGATTCCAAAACAACTTAATTTCTAGTTTGTTAATTCTTTTGCATTACGATCAAAATTGCATTCACATAATAAATATTTTTCCAAAAGTCATAAGTGGAAATCCAGTTTTACCTTTGTCGACTTCTTGACCGAGATCTACTTTTATCATGTGGACTGTGACTGCGCTTCTTTTTTGACGAGTGATTTTTTCTGAAAAATTTAACAATCGGATGAAGATAAATTATTGATGAATCTGTAATTGTTTATGTTTACAAATGTCAATATTTTTGCTTTTTGCTTTCACATAGCTATTCAAGGAAGAATCTGTCCAATCCCACGATGAAAATGGGTTAATGAACACTGAAAATAGCTGGTCCCACTTAAAAAGCTGAAACCTGTATCTCTGCAAAAACAATGACTTCAGTCCATGCTTGTGTTTTCTGTCTGTTACTTATATTTTATAGTGAATCAATTCTTGATTAGATTTTATGGGCAGTACCCAAAAACAAATCTTTTTATGTGGAGTCCTGGGATTGGAAGGAATAGCCCTTACCGAGATTGTTTAAGTGGAGTAATAGAATACAAAAGACATCAAATTAACTGTTTGCTCTTTAAATAACCTGTTCTATAATATTGAAGCATTGGGTATATCCTTTCCTGCGAAAGGTTGAGATTGATATAGAATAATAGTGTAAGTATCCTTTTCAAGGATGAATTGCAACATTTTTTTTCCTATCACTGCAAAACTGCCTTGCGTAAAATATACAGAGTTAGTAGATACTTACATGGAACCTCTTTCAGAGTCTCTGTCATCTTCTTTCAGCCTTTTCATACTGGGAAGAAGAGCAGGGTTAGGACTGACATTCTTTGGTGAATCTGAAATTCAAATTGCCACATCATAAAAATTGCTACATACAATATTCACAAGTTAAAAGTCTTAATTTCTTTATGGGGCCATAACTTTAAACCACAATTCTAGTAAATATCTCCAAAATGTCAAAGAGGTTAATAGATAACAGAAGCTACAACACCTTACTGTTATTCATAAACCTTTTAAGTCTCATGAAATACGATCAAGTTAAAACTGGACAGCCCAAACATTAGACCTTGGACCCTCGTTACCTTGCCATTGGCGGTAGCAAAGTGTTTGCCTTTTCACTTTATCAACAAGAACTGATGAATTGATTTCAGGAGTTCAAAAAGAATTTGGGGCAAGCATAGAGATTGTTTCCACTTTTGTGACCTTGCCCTTGGGGTACAAACATTTACTGGTACAATGTATGTGATATACCATCTTCCCATAAAACACCTTTCTAATAACTTTTCATCATTTTTTTCTCTCATCAAGTAAGAAGTTAAGGTCCAGACAAGATATGAAGGGATAGACAAATGAACTATACTTATATAAATACACAGTTGGGGGTACAATTACTTGTTCGAGATGAGTGATTTGGTGTCCCATTTTCAGAAGAGACCCCTTTAGCTTTCATCTTGGCTTCTATCTGAATCTTCTTTGCATCGTTCACCTTGGCTTCTAGTTTATCATAGTTTGGCTGAAATGTCAAGCAAATATATTTGCATCAATGAGATATATGAGGCATTTTTCTTGCACAATCAAATGACACTGGAAAAACCATTAGCGTGTACAAAAACATGTATGCAATAACAACATTATTTCATATCCCTGTATTTGCAATTTAATATTTTAGTGGCAAATGACAAGTGTGCAAATTGTTAATAATTCAGAATTCAAATAATACATTTTCCAACATAAGATTTTTGTATTATATAACAATGATAATTTTGGAGATTTTTTTTTTTACTTAACATCTCTCTCAAGTGTTAAACACAAACAAACAACTTGGTCTAGATCTATCTATTATTTAGACTTGCTGAACTTAGGTTATCATGTCTCCATAACCTGGAAGGACGGACAGTATATACCTACCCGAGGACGAGCGTAGAGCCTTAGAATGGTGAGACAAATGTCCGCTACCTCTTCATCGTCTACGCTGAACACATAATACCAAGGTGGACTGCTGGGCAGTGGTATCTGTCAAACAAAGACAGCAATCAAACTAACATTTCTCATAAAAAGTACGAAGTTCAAACCTTCAAGGACTTGTGACAAAAATCTTTTCGATACAAACTTCATCCTTTCCCTTTGACTAATTCTGAATTAAAGTAAAATTGTGTAGATGTATGACCATCATTCATGATGTCACTTACTTGTAATTGTCTTGCTGCTAAGTAGATACAGGCACATGCGATCACCTCTGGATGGAACCGAACAAACACGTCAGTCCTGAAACTATCGTTCATGTAGTTCCTGCAATTACAATCATAAAAACCATCAACAAATCCAACTTCATGTTTGTCTTACTAAGCTACTTAATTCTTATATAAACATATTTCATAGGGATTGCTTTCTAAAAGTGCAAAAGGATTTGTTCAGTATTCAATGGACGATTCTTACAAGTGACATTTTTTACATATGTTTTATTGCTTATTCCCAAACATGGTGTAGAAATTTACCAAGTCTTGACAAGTACACAAAAATATACAAGAAACTGGTAAAAGTTAAGGTAGAGAGTCCAATATCTATTGTTTTGTATACAGATGTTGAAAAGTTATATTTATAAATACTGTAAATTATGATATGTCCTGGATATACATTCAAGAACAGTTATGGGTTGGAGTATTTTTTGAGGAGTTAAACACATGGATTAAGCTCATTGCTTTATAATCAAGAGGTCCAGGAATCAAATACCTGTGGTGTTGATATTGTGAAAACAAAGTATTTCTTCCATATATAACTTTTCACTGTAGGAAATTGGAAAGCATCTCTAAATCAGAAAAATTCCCAACTAACTTGAACACTTTTTTCAATAGAGATACCTCCAACATTGTACCAAGACCCTCTACCTTGAAGATAAAATGAAATATTGACATCCTAGAAATATGCAACAAAGGCATTTGATGCATCAATATGACACAGAATACTAACCCATGGTTGAACCAAGTATCTCTTGCTACCGTAGATGTAATATTCCAGCAACAATTCAATACCTTTACCACAAGTGATCAAACAAAAAAACAAAATGTAACTAAAAACAAAACGGTAGAACGATAAAGTCACCAGCCACTATCTCATACATCCACACCACTCCATTTGACAACAGCTATTTTTCCTCGCGGTAGACGGTTTTCTCAGACACCGTTCCAGACATGCATATTGTTTTCAGTAAGCAAAATCCTTCATACGGTCCGGTGTTATGAAATTCTGTTTTCCATCCTGAAAGAATCTTTCATGATTATATGCAATTATTTCAGACCTTTTTTGGGCAACTGCTTTCATGCATTATAAACATATAATGTATGTAAATGTCTCCTTTTGTAATCTCACTTTAAAAACATGAAGCTTTTATGGACAATTAAATCAGCATCATGATAGGGTCTGAGGAGTCTTGGGGCTTAACAAGGCTTTATAAAATTATAGACTGTCAGTAAAACCAGTTATAGCAGCCTTCGCTCTACCACAAATGATCTTGAGTTGAGGATGTTATACACGTAAGTGCAACACAACACAAACAGTTCTCTGCTTCTTCAAATAGCTTGTTGCTTGGAGATCGTCTTCTATGTTGGTGGCAAGACATTCTGTAGCTGGTAGTTGCTGGATGGATAGCTCTTTAAGGCTGGTGAAGCCTGGGTGAGGCTGTTTTTGGAGGATGGTGCAATTCAACACATCTACCCACCTAGGCTGGGGTAGGCAAAAAGGAAAAGTATAGATTAATATCGGTACTTCTTTACTTCACATCTACAGTAAACCATATAAATATTTACCTGTCCAGCTCTATAATGCTTTTTCACACAAAGTCGTCTATGAAGTTGTATCTTGTATAATACACAAGTGATGCAAAACATAATTTATGGATTTCGAAAGCTATTGCAAATTACATTTCTTTGTATACAAACATTAAAATTACACAATCATTATTAATTAACTTAACAAGTCAATGTAAAAAATTCTTAAATACACATTAAAATTGTAAAATTCCTTTTTATTAATTGGAAAGGCAAACACAAATCTTTCCATTGTTACTTACTTTTCCAACATAAAAACAGTCGGAGTACAGATTTGTTTTACTAACAATCAGTAACAAACAATCTTTACAATTTATTACTTCTTTTTTTAACAATGATTTTGTATACTAGAATCACAGTAAATGTCACCCCATCCAACACTGGTCAATCTCACTTATTATCTTCTTAAATGCTTTATCACTTACAATCTTGGATATTGTTAACTATTTACAAGTTAGTTTTGCATTAAGTTGTAAAACTTCAGCAAACGAAGAAAAGAAATGTCACAAGTGATTCGTCTCCTCCATGCCTATAATTCTTTCACCCAAATAAATAAGGAAGATATTCTGTTCATACATCTTCAATACTATGCTGCGACTATGACCAGATCTTATGAACTATGCAACATGTGAAACGTTAAAACAACCAATTACTGGCTGGAGTCAAGGTTATTTGATTAACAAACAATATCAAATGCATACATCTGTATCATAAAAAAATCAAAAGTAATTTAAGTCACAAGTCCAGACACAAACACTACAAATTTCATGTCATGAAATGAACATTGGTTGCGAATTACACATATATATTTTTCCATTGAACAATGAAACAATCCTTTTGCACTTTCAACCTAACAATAAACAGTAACATAATTATGAAATGTCTTACCACTCCATGTCAATGATTACAATTATAAAACTACAAGTTTTTCACTTAGTTTTTTCAACTCTTTGTAATGCTTATTTGAAGGGACAAATTTCTTTTTCAATTATACTTCAAGAACAAAAACAGTTAAGTCTGCTATTTTTCAGTCAAAGATTCAAAATAATTGACAAGGATCTGACATTACTGCCCTAGGAACATAGTACCTTTTGCAAGTACTAAAATAGTGTGTTTTTCAAAACTCAAAATGTCATTTGTCGTATAGCAAGATCATAAATAGGACTATTATGTGATAAATGGTACCATCATTTTGATCTTGCAATATGACATATGCTGTATTCATTCTAATAAATGCCCCCACCTCCCATTCAATTTTTATGTCGGAGCAGGACATAAAAGTCTTTAGCTGAAAAGGTCACTTTTGTGCGAGTTTCCCCCCTTATATAAATGTCCCTCATTTTCAAGGAAATTAAATACTTTAAGGGCATCGGTTAGAATAGTTACAGCAAGAGATAAGATATATATGTGGTACCTACCATGCACACTGCCCCAACTTCTGGTCTCTTTCACATTCCAGCACTTGCAGGAACATGACAATCACCTGGAACAAAGAAGTGGTAAACAATACAACATGTGTGCTAAACACTCAACTGATCTTGCTCTGACAAGATCCTAATTTACCCATTGCCTTCCTATGTGCGGAGGAAACTCAAGTTTAAAAGCAAAAACTTTTAACCAAGTCCTTGTAGGTACTGCATCAATTATTGGACAAGTTCAACAAAGGAGTTCTTAATACTCAATTTCAAATTTACGAGTGCAGTTCTCATACTTAAAACCAAGTTGTTAATTATATATACCAATGGTACAAGTACCATTATAATCTTGCAGCATCTCTTTAACAATTTGGCCAAGCATGAAACTACTTTCTCTGTAACAAATCAAGTACATTTCAATCAGACTGGAGAGAGATTTTAAATCATAAAAGATCCTTAATATATCAGTGTTAATGTTATCAGTTATACAAACTTCAATGAAAACAATCTGTTAAGTAGTATAAATTTACCTTGTGAGGGTTTTTGGCATGTACAGAAAATCCCAACTCTTTCAGAACCCTTCTTTCAGCATTGTTAACTTGTTTCTTGAGATTGATGTAGTTCTGGTCTAATGGAAGAGGATGAAGTGTCCTGGAACGATAAAATATTGCACACATCCACCACTTGTCCAAACAAATATGTCTTTGGGGCATCTAGTCCGTGAAGGAAACATCAACATGCGCTTATGGAATAAGTTTAACACAATTTTCTCTTTTACTGCACAAAACCACCCATGAAAACAACCAGTGACCATTTTAAGTTACATTTGCAAGTCTGGCGTGTAGGGAAAAAATCTAAGAAACTACTTGGGGCATGTAGGCATACAAAATGCTCTTGGCTCAACAAACCAACTCTTCTTTAGCTATTTTTTCTCTCGATGAAACCGACATTACCACACTTCAATGGAACATACTTATAAAATGACTCCTACCAAGATTGAGTATCAACCTGCTTGAATACAAAGATCTACATAAGCCATATGTACATCAATGTTTTCAAAAATATAACCGATTGATTTACATATCAGTATCTGAAATATGAACAAGTGATTTCCGGATTTCACAATGAATCTTGTCGTGCCAGACTATAGAATTTGTATCAATACCTTGGTGACCCTCCATCTGCATTAACTTTGAAAGTATTTCAAGCCAGAAGACAACACTAATGTGGAGATTTTTCAATTCAAGTCCCAATTAAGGGAATGTGTCATTTTATACTTCTTTAGTATACAGGGTTTATTTTTGTATGTTTTAACAGCATACGACAAGAAAGAGTTTCTTCTGACATCAACAGCATTATATAAACAAAGGAAAATAGTTACAGAAATAGACATGAACACATTGGGTTTCACAAATTCACATGATGTTGAACAAAATTTATATTATATACAAAACATATCAGCATAATTGTCAATGCATCTCTGATATACTGATTGAAAAGCTATTTTCACTTCAGTCATCTGTTGTGCTTGAAGACAGACTTTTCCCCAGAATAAAATTCACTTGTCCATCCTCCAACATCTGATCAATATGATTGGCATCAGTAGCCGACTTGTAACATGCATGTAAAACCAATACATTTCCAAAAAAAAAAAAAATGTTTCTCGACTGAATGGAAATATTCCAAGGTTCTCAACTAAGTAAGCTCTTATTACAATATTTTGCAGTATACAGTCTTTTAATTATTGAAAAATTTGCTCACACATGCTTCATTCGATTTTAATTTTCTGATATGCCACATTGAAGCCATTTTAGTCTCTGTGGAGTATAACATATAGATTGATAGATATGCCAGTTAGTGAAATTTGACATAGGTATCTAAACATTTTTTTTATATCATGATGTGACTGGAAGTTATAAAGTAATCACATGATGAAAAGTGAATTTCTTTTATATCATGATGTGACTGGAAGTTATAAAGTAATCACATGATGAAAAGTGAATTTCTTCTGATAGATTCCATCAATAGTTTACAAGTGTAGTATTCTGTTCACAGTTGTGATATATCACGATACTTTACTTGTCTTCAACCTTTATTAATAAAGTAAGGTGACTTTAAGAAAGCATAATTTATTATGATCTTATATTTACTTCACTCGATTGTTTTAGTTACTAACATGGAGATGCATACCAACAAATTTGGAATTCAATATACTGCATATTGTCCAGTTCATCGACTTGTGCACGTAAAAATAAATCCTCCTTGGCTCGTGTGTCAAGGCAGATCAGGATTATGATAAGAGCAACTTTTACTGTTCACGAATCAAGTTCTTTACAAATTGTCTTTATAAGATTTAAATCTCCTTCCAACGATTTTCAACTTGTCAAATTGAATGTTGTTTTATAGACATATCATATTTCTCCCTCAAGTTATCAATTTTGACATATAATGGTATGAATCGTAGGGGTCTCGATAAAAGCTGGTTGCCGACAAAAACCAACGATTATTTCTGTGTCTTCTTCAACCGGATATTTTTTCAGATTTTTTTTTTTTTACAGAATTGACATTTCCATATTGTGATGATTTGATCAATATCGGCGAACAACAATATTGACTTTACCAGTTGGACAGAATCACTCAGAACTTCCCAGTCTATTTCACCTTTCTACCTCGATCTTTTACATAAAACAGCAATATCACCAATGCATTTGAATTATACCAAGGCAACACTTCCGACAAACGTCTAATTGATACAGAACGAGATCAATGAGAAATGGAGCCCTCAAAGGAAAAAAATATCAATCAACAATTTCTTTGTCGCCCAGAGCAGAAATACAGGCGATTTGGTCGCTGTAATTGGCAGCTGTTCATATTTGCTCTAAATCCAATCTGAACTGTTAGCATTTTTTTTATGTCAGTCACTTCTGAATCATGTTGCGATTTAAATTTGTAAGTGAAGTCATCAGTCACGAGGAAAACCCTATCAGTCTCGTGAATTTTCACGAAATTGCAACTTTCGAAATGATAATTAGGCGTGTCTAATTTACGTAACAAGCACTAGTATGATTTAATTGTGAACTTCAAAAATATTCAAAAGAAAACCTTAGATAACGGCAATGTTCCTGGCGATAATGGCGAGACATTCGCATTGTGTACATAAAGGGGAGTAACTTGTGGTGTAAGAAAACAAATATCCAAATAAAGTGTTGACAGTTTTGTAACAATTTCTACGTCAAAACTTTTAAAAATTAAATTATCCATTGATTTGTGAAAGTTTCACAAAATTGGACTAAAAATCATAATCAATTTGAGTTCAAAACTTTCATGCCAACAGTGCAAGATGATGCCATCAATATTTTAAATATATGTGAAAATGTGCATCAATAAAGAAATACAAAATGAAATTGTGTTCTGTGTATAGAAACAACATCTAACCCCCCCTCCCCACCCCAGTAATAAATTAACAAATTATCACTTTTTTTTTTTACTGAATGTAACAATTAAAGAATCAATATTTTCCAAGACATTCGAGGGCAGAATAATGAGGTGCCTCTGAATTGGATCAATACAATACAATCAGATGTATCAATTTCCAAATTAAGATGCAAACATTCTACACAGTAATTCTTTTAAACAGAGTGCAAAATGACAATAGAAATAAGAATATCTTGGATCGATCCAGCATAAAGATTTCCATTTCCTTTCAATTTTGATTTTCGACAGTCAAATGTAAAATTTCCTGATTCACATTGAAATAATAGGTATATTACCAATGATAAAGTAGATAGGCAAACACCGACATGTGAATGAGGATCATGGATATTTCTTTCATACGGTAACTTAATGGCCACTGGTTGTTATTTTTCTCTACTTGGTGGGGGTCATATACAAACCATCATTACCATGTACCATGACAAATGTGGCTGGACTTGCACCATACCACATTGGCGTATCCTGGGTGGAAAGCCCAAGGTCACAGGTCAAGGCCACCACGCCAGGTCGAGCCCTTGAATCATGTGCAGTTTCCCAGCAAGATTTGAAGAATCCAGGTGCTGTTTAATACAGCAAAGAGAAAATAGTGTTAAACCATGAGAACAATTACACTTCACATAAATTGCTCTATGTAGGAAAGCACACTATACCATAAGCATTTTCTATGCTCATGTCTAATATAGAATCAGATGCTTTCCAACATATTGAGCAAATCTAGTAATAGTATTTCTAAGGATTTTTACTTACATTTTTGTTATATCCCTGATTAGAAACTTTCCAACTGACAGCATTTTCTGCAAAAAGCTCATCTCAACGCCACACAATAAAAGCAAATAATCATAACAAAACCTTAACCTACAGAAACACAGAAAAACAATTTATCATACTTACTTTTGATTTCTAACTTGTTTGATGTGATGAATCACATTGATAACATCCCTCATTCTTCTTGGACATTCTTCTATCTTTGAGGCCAAGTAGATGCATGCCATGACAATGATCTACGAAAAGAAATATTAAAAATTTCAAAACTAGTTGAATAGAAAACTTCTTTTTCTGTTGAATTTTTTATCATTTAAGACTGATAATTGATACAATTAATACATTAAAAATTTGAACAGCATAATATACTGTCAACAAAATGCCTTGACCTTTTTGATTAACAAAGTGAACTTACTTCCATATTATGCTTGACAAATGACTTTGAATAGTAGAACCTCTGAAAGATGACCTGCCCAGTAGCCATTGCAAGCTGAAATGATAAATGTCGAACAATTTATCTATGATTCCGAGTTGTAGGAAAAACTTGTATCGAGCAAGATATGTGATTGGTCCTTATTTCTGCTATATACTGCTCTATAAGACACAGGAACTTGTCAACATATTCTATTTAGTAATTGTGAGAGTTTTACAGGACAGTCAGGTCCAGTACACTCTGCTGATTGAGCTATAAAGACCTAGGGTACATTCGCGTTCCGGTTGAATCTGCAAAGAAAACGACAGGCACAGATCTGGACCGAGGCCGACCTCAGGAAAAATTGGCACGTGTAGAAAGGTCATAACATTCTTGATACACTGTTTTTTATTCTCCGAAACATTGCATGTTTAGCTCTGCTTATATAAAGAACGGTCCAAGCGCATTCGTTTATCGTGGAATATTTCTTCGCCACATGCACCGTTTCAACCGGGATACGCGAATGTAGCCCTTTATGGCTATATTCACCTAAAAATTATAGCTGTATTGAGCTATATTTTCTCAGATTTCAATTTTCATTAAATTAAAGCAAAGTCGCATAAAATAATAAGGTTTATGGTAATGTTGACAACAAATAGCATACATTTAGGTGTTTATTTTGATTTTTACATCAGGCCAATTTTTTTTTAAGTCTATTTAGGGTTGCATGGGCAAAAAAAAACAAAGGTAGGAAGGTCGATTTTTTTTGTTTTTGTATATTTTTGTGTACCGTGTGGTCATGTGATTATACCCTACTATTGTATGTAAAACAAAGAATTACATAAATAGGTTCATTTGGAGGCAATTGTGCTACATATGATGACATTTAGCGCCAACACGGAGCTGGAAGCCATTTTGAAAGGCAAGGAACCTTTTTTTCCAACAAAAAGTTTTGGGTCACGGGTAAAAAGCTAAGGTCGGGACCCCAAACTGATTTTTTTTAATTCAATCATTATTTTTTAAAAAGAATATTTATTTTGAATGTCTTTTGTTATCAACCTAATGATAAAATATTTTCAAAGCGACTTTGATTAGTTTTCCTTAAAAAAGAAAATCACAGCAAATTTCAGATATTAATTATTATAGGTCTTTATAGCTATAGAGCTCAATCGGCAGTGTACTGGACACGATAGTTTCATTAACATTACCAATCAAAAAAAGATGACCGTTATTATTTCAATAACATAGTCAAAAAGTTTAAGAATGTATATAGCTAAAGTTTGATGACAATTGCTACAAAGCCGTGGTGTGCTTTCATTCTATAAACAGGGAAAATATCCAATGAGGGACAATCCCTCACCCAACAGCAAGGCACATAACACAACAGTACTTGAGAAGTTAAATCAATGTGATCAACGTAAACGCAAAGTTAGTTTTCGAACGTAGGTTAAATATTATTATAGTCGAAACACATGGGTCTGAACAGAAGCAACTGACATATTTAACAACTTCACACCGAATAACCTAAGAACTGTGAAAACATTTTTACCTCATTTCATGGAAATTTAAATAATTCTATATGGTGAATAAATAATTTGTGATAGTAACAAATAACAGTAAATCAACATCTCTTTCGAGGCACATATTCTTTTAAACACATTTCTCTTTCACAGAAGAACAATACATATTTATAATTTGATGGAAATTCAACATGGCCGCACCTGTGGAAGTTTCAACAGGATGCCTGCCGTTTGTATCAACTCGCAACCAAGTATTCGTAAATCTGTTTCGGTTTCATTGTCAAGTCCGTCTTGCATTGAGGGAGTCGGTGAACGTTTATCGTCGGGTAACAATACATTTTCCAACGTCAAAACGACCCTGCTGAAGTCTCTAGTATTGAGAGGATTCTTCTCAGCCTTTGTCGCCGTCATCTTGGATCGTTTCACAGACGTGTGCACGATGTATTAATCCGCGATATGGCCAGAGCCACTTTTTCAAAATTCATTTTTTTTCTATTTTTGAACGTTTCCTTTATAAAATGACTTTATTTCATTTCAAGAAATGTTGCAAAATAAATATATTGAGACAGAGAAATTGGAAAAATATCGAAAGAAATACGTAATTTTATTTTCAGCGGATGAATGTGGTAAATTGGTAGGAAATGACGTCAATGCAAAATACGCAATAGACCGGAACCGGAAAAGCTTCAATATTTTCCATTCTCGTTCCCTGACTTTTGTATTATTTACGTGTGAACGAGGAATAGACACATCGACGAGTTGGCTACGGTAGTTTTGACAACAATCATGCGACGAAGTGCAGTTGTGTTGTTTGTTACTTATATAACGCTTGTAAGCAGCAGGCCTCCTCGGGACGTTGTCGCAAGAGATGTTATTCGCATGGATATGGGAGATACTGACAACGATCTTGGACAAAAACCAGTTCTGTCCGTTGACAAACTTGTCCCTCCAGATCATCTTGACGCTGTCCGTTTAGAACAGGACGGGCACATCAACAAGGACTTTCACAAGGAAGCTTTTCTAGGAAATCACGAAGAGATTGATGATGAACCCGCTCCTGTGGCTGAATCAAAGCTGCATGAGATATTTAAAAAGTATGAGTTATCTTCTGTAGTAATGTAATAATAATAATATTTATTCAGGTTAGTAACAGGCAAATAATACACGTATATCACATTTTGCAGATTGGACAATATATATATATATCATCACAGATATTATTTATGCCATAAAACTAGTAGTCAGCCAGGTGTTAAAACTGGATTGGATTAGATTAATTTAGGCTTTTACCTGGGATGACCCTACTCCCATAACATGAGAGGCCGCTGGTCGGCCTTTTTTCAATCGGATATGATTTTGCCGACTGCGACGCCTGTCAAAAAATTTTCGCCGTGTAAAACCTCTAACATTGTTGAAGCAGGGATGACCCATAAAGCCACATTGTGGCTTAAATCCAAAGGGGTCCCTTGGACCTAACACAAGGATATGAGAATTTGTTACAGCACTATTTGGACCTAAACTAAGGTGTTCAGACTAATTTTACATTGTTTAGATCGACTTTCGGTAAAAATGATGTAATGTATACGAGAAGGATGGAAAGGTCTTGATGTCGAAAAGTCGACCCAACTTTCTTGCATCAAAAACAACATTTCTAGAAAAATGCTTAGTACCTTTGGAGAGATGGATAATTTTTCCTTTTAAAAACCTCCTATATATATGCACGTAAAATGTATTCTCCTTCCGTGGTCACAATCGTCGTTTCCTCGAAATACACACCATTGAAGAGTTTCCACGTTGTTAGCAGTCATTGAGCCACTTTTTGTATATTAATGTGGTTGATGTCAGCCTCATGTCGAAACATGCAGTGTTGGTTGGCTGGTAGTTTTAGCGGAAAAAAATGCTGCGCTTCCAGCCAATCACGCCACAAGTCTTGGCAAGTGGCTGACATACTGAAGGAACGATGAAATATTTTTGAAATGAAATGTTATATTTTACAGTTTATTGGTATCATACCATATCTACCTGTAGCTGGTGTGTAGAATATCTTCCTTCAAATGATTGCATGGTCGCAATTGGCAAGACACTGAAGGTCACATCGGTCAAACATGTTAAAAATAAATGAAAAGATATTAAGGGTCCGGAATTTCTTTGTAACAGATGTATCATTATATATATAATTATAACTTTGTAGAGTTGATACGAATGGAGATGGCTTTATGGAAGCAAACGAGATGCAAAAGTGGATTTTATTGAAAATCAACGATCATTTTGATGAATCTATGAAGGAGAATTCCCACATATTCAAACACATGGATCCAAAAAAGAAAGGTACATTTTTACTTGTAATATTCCGATGATTGATTAATCATATCACTAGTTGATAACAGGGTGTCATCTGTTATCAGGAGAACTGAAATTTAATGTTTTTTTAAGTCACCTGGGTCAGTGATAACATTTCATCCAGATAACACAAGAAATTGGTGGCAAAATACAGGCCCCTTTGGCCTCTTGTAAAGTTTTTTTTTAAGTCACCTGGGTCGATGATCACTTTTTATCCAGATAACACAAGAAATTGGTGGAGCAATACAGGCCCCTTCAGCCTCTTGTAAAGTCAAACATTTTCACTCGTAAAGTTGATCCAAGTACAGAAATATGTTGTTTCATAAATGTTTATATGATTTCAGGTTACATAGAATGGAAGGAGTACTACAGACATTTCCTGCTGGCCAAAGGTTACGAGGATTCCAAGGCCTCCAAACATATAGAAGACTATGACACAATAGACATGAAGGATGACGGTTGGTTAAAATGTTCACTTTTATGATGTTTTTGTCATGATGGTAAAAAAGTACTGGGTGCATCCTTTAATGTTGTTTTTGTCATGTCACCCTGTGAAAATACTAGCTGCTTCCTACCCTCTCAGAAGTACTGCAGTCGTTAAGGTGTCTGACATTCTGCTACAATTAGCCCTAGGAATTCAGACTTTTCTCCGCCACCGAAACCTGGCATGTCCTTAAATAACCATAGCTGCTAATACGACGTAAAACACAAACAAACCAAACCAAATCCTACCATCTCGGCTAGGGAGAATTTCTGTTAAGTGCATTTGGTTGAGCATAAGACTAGTAAACTAGAAGTACCAGGTTTAACAAGAAACTCCTATTGGAGGCATTGAAAAATAATGACCCTCCTACATCGGCATCCACATAGGCAAAAATACTCTGTCTTGCAATTATTGCTGTTACCCCTTGAACACTCTGTACAAGTTCTTTACTAAAATACTGCACCTACTCCAACAGTGTTAGAGGTGTACCAGGCGCCATGTAACGGTCGACAAAATCATATCCGATAGAAAAAAGGCTGACTTATTTAGTGGCCTCTTGTGTTTTAGGAGTATAGCCGTGCCTCACCTACTCGGCTAGGAAGAATTTTCCTTTAGCTCTTTCAATGGAGCGTCAGACAGTAAAGCAGATTTCTTAGGTTCAACCCCTAGCAGAGGCATTGGGAAAAAAATGACCTCTGTTAATTTTTGTTGTTGTTGTTTGATAATTTGCCACGACAAAACCTGTTTTTTTGTTTTAAGTTCTTTGATAAACAAACAAGGTATTGCAGCATGTTATCAGAAACATCATGTAGAACTGTAGGTAAACAGTTCCAAATAATTGTTGAGTAAATAACTATAGATTAATCTACAGGTTATAAAGATTGTAGATATTTAGGATAATTACATTTCTAAACTGTTGCCAACACCACCATTACCCCACCACAATCTTTTTAAAGAGTCATAAAGTGAACAGTTCTTGTCAATTTCCACATGTAATATTTTTGCCTCGAAGTAGCGGAAGCGAGACTAAGGGGTTGCTTTTCCAGCGTTTGGTTCACTGAAAGTATAAGTGCTAGACTAACCAAACTTGGACCATAGATGTATCTTAGGCTGTACATCTCAACCCATGCACCAAATGCTGGATGCGGCCTACCTTTCATGGTCCATTGACTTTGTCAACATCTCCATCAACATTAAGTTTTTGAGTTTCTCTGAAACTTTAAGTGCTAGACAAACCAAACTTGACATGTGCATTGATGGTCAAAGCGGGGCACAGGTGAGACATATCAATCTGAATGGCTTGTCACTTAAATTACAGTATGTTCCTGTTACACACATTGAATGCTGGGTATCAATCCATAATTTGATCACAATACTACCAGGTACTGCGAGGGAAAAACTTATCACAAGTAAACAGTCGTATACTGTCACCAGTGAAAAGTAGTTCCTCGCAAGAGTATATATATATATATTCTTATTTCTGTCATTCAATACATTGATTGAAACAAAGAATATATGGACCTTAACTCATTCACCCCTGAAGATACATTTGAATTCTTTCAATAATAGGTTGGAATAGTTCATTATGAAATGTCAGGGGTGAATGAATTGAATTAAAATGTCTTAAAATTGTAACTGGTTCTAAGGAAGCAAATTTTAGTTTTGTTTGCTGTGATTCCAGTCAGTCTTATTAAAATCTTTATTATACACTATGTATGCAAAAATGAAATTCTTGTTTGCTGCCAAATACCTAGGTAATGAAAATAAAACAACAATTGAATATCACAATTTACTTTGTATTCACTTGTAAAATTAATTTCATCACCTGATTATAAAAACCTTGTGAGCTTGATATTTTTACCTGGCAATGTTGTGCAAAATTTTGTCCCTTTGAAATAGTTCTAATGAGGAACACTGTGAAATATTAGCATTGAAAAATTAAACATTATTTTAATCAGATAGAATTCTGGTATATATTTTTTCTAGCAAATAATCAAAACATATGATTATAATATAAATTTTAAAGTGGCCCTGCAGGACTGACTATTTTGTCTTGCTGGTTCAAGACCGGAATGTGGGCAGATAAAGTTTCAAGCAGGTGATATTGCACGAAATGGGCTGGTACCGATATAGGTTGTTACACATGGGCAGCCACAGGTAATATGGAGAGTCACAATTTGAGTGATAATTCAAGACAGTACATGATAAAATTCAGTATCTAACAATGACATGTATCTAATTTTACAGAACGGGAGTCTTTGGTGAGGTACAAATTCCGTTGGACAGACGCAGACCAAGATAACAACAACAAGCTAACGGAGGAAGAGTTCCTGGCGTTCCGCCATCCCGAACAGAGCCAGATCACAATGAACAATATGCTGGAAACCATTCTTAATGGACTGGGTATGATCAGATTAGTTATAGGTCATATGTTGCAGATCAAAGTCATTTTCAATGTATTGGATCACAATTTGTTTAGGTCACCTGAACTTTGTTTTAGTGACTTATTTTGATCACTTTTCGCCGTCATTGTGGGCTATCTATTGTCTGTAAACATTTTGCGTTTTTGACCTAGAGCTGGTGAAAGAACTTCTGTAAAACTTGATTAGAATCATTCCTGGTGGAAGATAATATCAAATTATAAAACTTTGGTTCCTGCCCCAGTTTCAGATGCCAGGACAGAACTCCAAATGGGAAATTGACTAATGTTTCAAAAATATTTTTTTCGCCAGGCTCAGATGTACTAGAATCAAATGAAGAATCCTTAGGTGTTTTATCTTTAATAAGTGTAAATTTCATGACCTCCGCTCATTCATTCTTCCTTGGTATTGGGCTGAAATTTATTTCATTTTTTTGTTGGTTTACCTAATGATAATCACACATGCAACATACAGTTTTGTCTCGTTGCATGACGTGATGATAGCCCACATTAAATGATGTCAAGTACTGTACAGCGGTTGTATTACGCGGAGGTTTTAATTTCGCTATGTTCACACTTTGACTTATATCCATGACTTCTAAACACCAGCGAAATTATCGAAAATGTTACATGTAACCACTTTTACAGACCTTATCACTACATTTTGAAAATACTTATTACTCAACCCTGTTATGTATATGCAAGCTTAAATGAACTCTAATCAGACTATCACCGGACAACTGGACAGTCCATGTAAAATCAACACTTACATATAAGTGGCCACAACATATTTATGTGTACACAGTGGGTGATTGATCTATTACAGTTTACTCCTACAAAGGTACATACACATTTGATTTTCTTTCGAGTGAAGTCACTGGCGGATGACAACACTCGGGATCAGTGTTTTCAAACGGTTTACCTTAATTTCTAGGTTTCACCCTTAAATTATGACACCCAAAATACTTTACACTACACTTGGGATTCGGATGCACAGCCATATTTAATCCCCGCGAATATGTACTGAATACGAAACTGCGAAATAATGACCCCGCAAATTTAAAGCGCTATACAGTACACAGTGACTGTTAACATTATACACAGAACTTTAATCCAGCCCCAGATTCAGCTGTGTCAATGTCTGTTCATCCCAAAACATTCCATGTGGTAAAAATATGAGTGAATAGTGTACTCCTTTCAATTAAATGGCTTCAAATCAAATTTCCCAATCAGGTGTAAATAGGTATGGGTTCACCTGCCCGACCAGGTGGGCTTTCTCCCATATTATATGTAAGACTCCTGCGTACTAACATCTAGGCCAACAAGTGTTGCGGGTTCGAGTCAAGGCACAGCACTGTGTTGTATTTTTGAGCAAGATACTTAACTCCGCTTGTTCCAGTCTACTCCGCTTGTTTCAGTCTACTCAGCTGTAAATGAGTATGTGGTTGGGCAGTGCTAGAGTTGTTGAATGCTAGCTGTGAGTGCCGAAATGGCAGCACCAGCTGTGTGTCCCCAGGGAGTTGAGACAGATATTGGCTAGTTGCAAAGGCCCTATAACCACGGATAATAATTTGTGAACTGCTTTGAGACGACCTACGAACTAGGTTGTGATAAAGTGGTATATAAGAACCTCGGATTATTATTTTTTATGCTTATCACAGATGTGGACAAGGATTCGGAGCTGACGGAGGAGGAGTTCTGTGCCCTGCCCCCGGGGGAAGTCGTGGGGGAGGAACAAAAGGAGATGGACCGTAAATGGCAGGAAGAGAGGCGTCAGGAGTTTAGGAACTCGATTGACAGAAACGGAGACAAAAAAGCAGACAAAGCAGAACTCTTGGTAGGTATATTTTAGTAACCTTTTCACCACTGTAGACCATAATGGATTCATCCAGATCAGTGCATGGTAGAGTCTACTGAAGTTACATAGGGGTGAAAGGGTATATTTAGTTAATATGGGGTTAGTTAATATGAGTTTACAGTAGATTTGTGGGAAAAAAAAGTAACGACAATGACATGCCTTAAGTCTTTCACGCTACATCATTTCTTATTGCAGTATTCGATTCTACGTTAATTTACTCCCGGAAAATTAATTTCCTGTCCTGACTTTGTTTAGGTCATATATTGGTGAAATTTGGCATAAATAGCTTAAGAATTGTCTAGTGCTTCTATTGATGATATGAATATAATTATCATTTTCATTTTCATAGAATTCTAACCATGATGACTTAATTGGTCAAAATAGTTTTTATGACAAAAGTTTACATTGTGTGTATGGGAATGACATCAAAGTATGACTTTCATGCTGGGATGAAAAGTGACATCTCAATAGCTGAGCAATGAATAAAAATATAAATATTACCAGAGGAAACGTAAGATAGCACTCAAAAAGGATGTCAAGATTTATACAAAGCCACGAAGATTTACAAAAAAATTAAACAGAATACAATTGGAAAATGACGTTTGGCTCCTAACTGTATACCTTGTCAACTTATGTAAATTATTATTTGAAAAGAAAACCATTTCTCCCAGAACTTTTATGAAAAAAAGTTTTCAATTTAAATGATTAGAAATTACCTTTACTACAGAACACTTTGCAGTCTTTGCAGTAAAACTACCACAGATAGTATGCTGTATCCTAGAAATGTCCAGAAAAAAATGCTTAGCTTGCACACTTACGCTAAATATCCATAGATATAGAAAATTATGAAGTTAGTCCTAGTTGAAATTCTGGTCTGTGTAGGTTTTCAGATTATATAGGTTCAAATGGTTTTCAAATCATCTGGGCCCAGTTGTTCAAAAGATGGTTTATAGCTTAAATCACTGTTTAACAATATTTTTCAACCTTTAATGATTTCGTAAATATTCAAGGTAAAATCTCACAATTTTGCATGTAAATTAAATTTACTTAACTAAATATTTGATATCTGGCAAGTTTTAACTAATTCAATGGTTGTGTTTTAAAGGTGCACAGAAATTAAAATTTGCACCAATCACTGATTAAGCTAATCACCTTTTGAACGACGTACTGGGCCCTGGTATCTGTTGTCAATTTATGAAACAGTATACATAACTTGCTATGGTTTAGATGGTTTTGATGTGGCATAATGTTAAATTGTAAACGCTTCCTGATTTGCAGAAATATGTTGACCCCAGGAATCCAGACCAGGCCAGGTCGGAAACGGAGAACCTTATAAACATGATGGATGAAAACAAGGATCGCCTCGTCACCATGGAGGAGATGATGATCAACAAGGACATTTTCGTCAGCAGTAAATGTGTGGATGTCAAACGTGTCCTTCATGACGAGTTCTAAACTCAAAAACTGATCAAAGCTGTGATAAAATTCAACTCCCAAAGACTTGTAGCATCAGAAGGTTCCATTCTGACAGGTTGGGACTGATTAGGTGTGTCACAATATGCCTGGAGTATATCACGATATATCGCAATACAGAATGATATGTAAAAATGCTTAATTTAAAAAAAAAAAATGGTGTAACAGAACGATATCAAACTGAATAATATACAACGGATCACACAGATTTAAGATTTTTTGTTAAGCCAACCATTCTTCATGAAATAGGCCTGTTGTAACGAATTTTTGAAAATTATTACGATACAGCGATATTTCATTTCTCTTCTGCGATATGGTACGATAAATGCCTGTTGTGACACCCTAGAACTAATCGCAGAATATGAGGAACTTTTCTGATGTTGACTTCTGAACTTTATTATCTTTATTATCTCCTGGTGAATATTAGGAAGCTAAATCACTTTCTCCATGCTACTGTCTACCGGGACACTACTTTTATATTATTTTATGCTATACATCTGTAAGAAATGTTTTTAATTGATATAAATTTGGGCAACTCAATGGTTTGAAATATTTAACTGTCCTGTTGATTACACTTTATACTATAATAACCTTTGTACTTTTCAGCGAGATCTTTTAACTCATTCACCCCTGAAATTTCACAATGAAATATTCAAACCTTTGATTTGGAAGAGTTCAAATGTGTCTTCAGGGGTGAATGAGTTAGTGATTACTTTGAAAGTATATAAGACAGAAGACTGGTGGATTCAAAAACATTATTGATTTTGACAGAAACTGGACTTAAAAAAATATATTCATTCGGATATGTTTTCCTCAATATTTTACTAGTTGATGTGTGTTTCTCTTACCCTGGACAGGTGTATCCGCACTTTTACTGGTGTGGCATTTCCTTGTCTCACCCTAGGGTTAAGACGGGGGGATTCCCCTATTCATAACAATGGCATGACATCACTATGGAAGAACAGGGTAAGAGAAAAAGAATCATTCACCCCCTTGTGGATGAGATAGGGGAATCTCAACCCTCGGGGAAAGATTCTCAAGTTGCCAAACACTCGGCAAAGCCTCGTGTTTGGCAACATAAGAATCTTCCCCCTTGGATTGAGATTCTCCTATCTCACCGCCAAGGGGTTGAAAGATTCTGTTAATCTGATAGTCCTAAATGAATTATCTCCCCTTGATGAAGTGTGGGGAGTGATTACATTATATCGTTGTGCTGTGTCTGTCTATCATTTATCACAGCTCAGATTAAGTATTTTTTATCAATACATTACTTAGATTGTACATAGGGCCTAAGTTAACATTTTGTATGTTTGGGGTAACACGACCGACCAAGTAAAGACGTCCTGACTGCAAAACGTCTTTGATATCTTCTATACCAAAATTTATTTTGACATTAATTTCAGGTATAATATACAGTCCTAATTTAGAAATGTTAAGTGTTAACTGATGTTTATAGATAGGATATCTAAAGTGCTTATGTGCCTGTTTCAAGGTGGTGAGACAAAATGGACGCATGGCTTCTGTTGACCAATTCTGCTGATAAAAGTTGATTAAATGTAATATTTTTTCTTTGTCACTTTAACAAAATAATTGGACCTACCTATCTACCTACCCAAACCTAAAATCCATGGTCGAGTTACGCCAAACAGAAAATGTTTTAATAGTGGCCTAGGTGTTTTCAATGGGGTCAAACAAATAAGGCCAATTTTGCTATCTAAATGGTTTTTTTTTTATGAAAAATGTTTTGTGACAGATCAGATAAGTTGATATAAAGTGGAACTCATGTCAAAGTACCTAACATCTACAGAATTACATTACATTGATCATCAACTGGAAAACACAGGGTTTCAAGACAGTGTGATATCAAACCAAAAAGGAATTAACTGCTAATATATGGCCATAGGAATGCTGGCATTATAAAGAGGTTTGTCAATAAAATGAGAGAAATGTACAACTATTTAACTTTTGTGGGGGGAAAAAGAAAAAGAGGCTTCAAAATTTGTTGGGGGTAAGCAAGGTGGTAAGTAAAAGAGAGACATATCGAAGTTTTGCGGTAGATGAAATGTACTTGTATTAGAATTTCAAAGGACTAGGGGCATTAAGAGTCATTTCCGGTCTCATCGAGGATTTAGAATAAGTTGTTTTATTCATAATCTGTAATAAATGGAGCTTGCAAATATGAAATTTAAAATTCATTCGACAACTGGTTTATGAGATAACAAAATGTGTGAATATCATCTGTTTTGGATGAAAATCTGCCAATTTGAAGGAAATAAACCAAACACTCTTCAATTTTTGAAAGCCTCGGCATGAAGTTGAAATTTTAACTTTTTACGAGGCCAAAAATGACCCATAAAACCCCAAGTCCTTTTGTTTTTAAGAATTGTTATTCAACATAGAATTTCTTTGTCATTTACATTTTTTTGAATTTCTAACGTGTATACCCATGGGATAAATCCAAAGTAACTTCCTACTTCTTATTGACGTTGTCACTTCCTTGTCACATATCTCCGATGTTGGAGTGATAATGGTAATACTACGACTCCAGAGGGTCAAACATTCCATACACATTGTGTAAATGTTGTTTGTGAAAGTGACATATTTATGATTATTAATTTTTTGTTTTGTTATTTCTTTACAGAAGAAAGGTAGTAAAATTCGGAACTGTTAACCCTTTCACCCCTATGTAACTTCATTAGACTCTACCATGCATTGATATGGATGAGTCCATTATATTCTACAGTGGTGAAAGGGATAAATACGCTAATTTATTCACTGTGTTTTCATGTAAGAGAAATATACAATGTACACTGTATACCATTTTTGCTGTAGTTTAATTTTCGTCTTTTTTTAATAAAAGTGTTTCAACGTTTTAAGACCGACTGGTTCCTTTGTCAAGCTATGACTTAGACAGGGCATTTTTCCTATCGATATAGAGTGTTTTGCATCGACGTTTTCACTCATGGTAAAGAGAACAAATTTATGACAGCGAATACTTACTTAGAGTATACCACAAATAGTTAAATTAACTTCGAGCAAACATAGACTTTACTGATGATGGGAAATATTTGAAAGCTTCATGATATATAATATTTCTGATGGATGAATAAGAATGTTTATCACATAATGTACCATGTTATCCGGTGAATATACCCATGTCATATTTTTTGGCGTATTAACCCATGTAATATGACCTATCAGCCCTGTGATTGGTTGTAAGTTTTTATTGTTTCAATTGTGACCTCACGCCTAGTGCAAGTACATGACGTCACAGAATTATGCACTGTCGTTTTACACGAATTCATGCCACACATCTCGATTATGTGATAAAAAGGATCTTACATTCGTTTTCGTTTTATATGAAATTTATGGAACTCGTCACAAATTTTTTATTTTTGCTCGCCAGAGGCTCGCTAAATTGAAAAACTCTTAGGCTCGTTTCATAAATCTCATATGAAATAGAAACTCATGTAAGATCCTATATATATGACCTTCAAAAGTTCTAGTGTTTTACAATAGAGAAAGGTTGTTGAAAAGAAACAAACACTTTTAACAGTTAATTGTACTTATATTTCTAACTATATCTATCCACTTAATAACAGAAAAGTGCTATTTGATAATTTTACTATAAGTCATCATATGGTTGATGCACTCGTACAATCTGAGACATCAGATGAACACACACGCGTGGTAGTGACTATATATGTCGCACCAAATACACATGATTAGCACGATTGATTGTTTATCTTTTTATCGGAACAAATCAAAGGTGTAAGAACACAAATTTTAGAATACAGAACTTTGTTATACTTTGTTATTCATGATTTGTTTAATGCATAAATTTGAAGAAATAATTTGTATGCATTTCAATTATGGGTTAATTGCAACATATTGTGTCATAATAAATATTTTGATGGTGTTGAGTAATACTTATGTTATTGGTGGATTCCTCTTAATGTCATGTGACATTATCAAGTTTGTATGTGACATTATCAGAAGTGTATGTGACATTATCAAGTGGGTATGTGACATTATCGGAAGTGTACGTGACATTATCAGAAGTGTATGTGACATTATCAGAAGTGTACAAGACATTATCAGAAGTGTACGTGACATTATCAGAAGTGTATGTGACATTATCAGAAGTGTATGTGACATTATCAGAAGTGTACAAGACATTATCAGAAGTGTACGTGACATTATCAGAAGTGTATGTGACATTATCAGAAGTGTATGTGACATTATCAGAAGTGTACATGACATTATCAGAAGTGTGTGACATTATCAGTAGTGTATGTGACATTATCAAAACTGTATGTGACATTATCTGAAGCGATGTGACATTACGCAAAACATAGAATGACAAAATGAACTAGATTAAAGCAAACAAGTAGTGTTTACCATTTGTTTAATCAAAATACAGGTACCTGGTAGTTTTTACTAGTCAAGCAACTGACAATTAGACATGATATTAAAAGCCATTCCTGTCTATTTGTTAAATCACTATATAAAACAAATTAAAGAACAATCAACAATAAAATATGGAGGTAGATATTGTACTTTAGGAAACCATGATATAACCGATAATGTGACATTAAGAGGAATTCATCATAAATCTCTGTCTCAATGGCATCCTCTGTTTACTGCAGTTAATATGAGCATATTTTGTAACATACAACATTAATATATTTATTTTAAGAACCCATGGTGTTTACCATAATGTTTCATGAAGTTATTGTAGTAACAGGATTTCACTATCAAACTTCGTCTTGGTAATTCCCTATATGTCGGTATATAACTGTTTTCAAAACTGAAACATTATGATCCGCAAATAACAAGCTTGATAGGTCTTACATAAACAAATGTCTGCATAATGAAAATGTAAATTGGCAGGGCTCAAGTCCCAAAACATCTTTCATTAATTGATTAATTAATTAATTGACATGAACAGAGTTTTTACAATCTAATGAGTAATGATACTGCCACACAAGTATCTGAGGTAGCCTGAACAATACTTATGTCTAGATGAACAATTTCTCTGAAATCAGTTCATGCAATAAGTTTGCAACAAAACTCTTTGGATGGCAAACTAGACTAGACATGCATCACGCATCCCACAAACACTTACTTTTCCCAGGTTTTGAGATGAATCAAAAAGAG